TCCATGCACATGTACAGTTGCTTCAAAACATGCTGCCACAACAACGCATGCATACATAAATATATATATGTGTGTGTGTGTGTTTGTATGTATGGCCGTGTAGTTGTAAATCTTACTGTGTTTCGCATAGCATACTTTTGAGCGCATACATTGCAACGAATATCATTTCTAAACAATTCATCAGACCTACAAACAAAAATCATGCCATGCAACATCATAATGGTTAGAACCATCGTCATCTAACCTGCACAAGCTCTGTACGAGTGCTATACGAGTGCAACACCATCTAGCAGCAACAAAACATCATAATGGTTAGAACCATCTCCATCTAACCTGCACAAGCTCTCTACTAGTGGCATACGAGTGCAACACCCTCTAGCAGTTGCCCCAATATGTGGGTGATTTTTTACGCGTGTCCAACGACACGAGACCCACACACACCTACTGAGAGATGCAGATAGTCGGTAACGTTCTGCACTTTTGGGTGGCTAGACTGATTCACTAAAAACAAATTCAACAGTAAAACCGACAACAACAACAATAAGGCTTGCTGCGCATTGCCTTCTGAAGACCCCCCACCATACTCTCCATATATCCACATTTCCCCGAAACAAATCGGTCGCACTGTTGCAGTTTGGGATTGGAATTGGGATTTAGGATGGGGTTGGGGTCGGACTAGGGAGTCTTGTTTAGAATTTTAGATTTTAGCGCGTTTTAGAATTTTATGAATGAATTTCGGCGCTCGGCTTTCCCGTTTCCATCTGCCCACCCCACCTGTTCCAATGTTGGTGGAAAAACATGCACTAGTTTAGTTTCGGGTTAGTTTTTAGACCCCCCATTGGCGCACCTCGACCCATTTGCCGTGACCTTGCCATTGCCTGGAGTTTTTCATGTCGAAGCCAGGCATTTTGGGTGCTTTTCTAGTTTTTGCTGTGCGAGCATACTGAGCAGCACTCTTGATTTTTTTTGACTCTATTTTATTGCTATTTGATTGGGTTGACTAGTTCTATTTGGCCAACTTTTGTGACCAATGGCACACATCTGCATACTGGATTATGCAGAGACATACGATACTTTATGTTAACTAATGAAATAAATTCGAATGTAATAAATAAACTTTAAACATATCTACTATATGTAGCGTGGGGGCATTGTAATCGTTCATAGTTGACCGCGTTACTCTTTCCTCATTGGCCATTTAAGAAATTAGGAAGTTGGTGGCGAAAACTATAGTTTGCGCCACGCCACGCAAGACAACAAGCAGATCCTGCAACTTCAAACATTATTTTTTCATCAGCCTCCTTAGTGATACGCACTGTTAAGTTGCTTAGGTTGATTAATGAACGCGCAAGAAACTGCTGCTTTTACTTATAAAATAAACGAATTGGTAAGCTTCTAATGTAAGATAAATAGCTAAGCTTTCAAAAATCACTACACATTTAATTTGTTGAGATAACTTTAGAAAATCTACCGATTGTTCCTATGGCAGCAATTGGATATAATACGCCGATTTGTCCGAATTTGACAAATAAGAAACTAGTTAAAATAAAAGCTAATATATTTAAATTTATAGGTTTCTGTAATAGTATGGATAAAACTTCTTTGGGGAAATTTGGAAATTTTTCAGTATTTAAAGCGAACAACTCTTCCTGCAACCTCTGCCCGCGAAACTTTTCTGGGTATTTTTACGCTAAGAAAAACCCATTTAATCTGACAAACCTATAATGGACCATCCCTAAATTATAAAAAAAAATACCTACATATTATTTTTACTTACCTTACAGGCGCCAATTAAAACTAATATAATAAAATAAAAGGAAACGAAACGAAAGTAAATACAAACTTAAGAGCAAAATCAATAAAGTGCCAAATATTACAATCATTTATCGTAATTCCAACTACCAAACATTTATATTACTAATTTTTAAGAGCCATTCAATTTAAAAATTTAGAAAAAATAGATAAATTTTACTTTTACGCTTGAAAATCTTAAAAGCTATTCTAATAAATTTAAAGGATGACGATTTTCTCATTTAAGGAACCTTTACATAATTTCCAATGCCACATTCTTGTTTTTCTGAGTTATGGCTTGCACATGAAGCCTATTATGTTGAACATGTTTAGAAACGATGGAATTGTTCAAAAATCTGTTTAAGACGCTGAGAAATTACAAAGTTTTGCAATAAATAGATTCAAACCCAATAACTGTAGTTCTCGATGGTACTATATGCCTTTGTTTTGTTGCTAATATTTTATAACGATCACTTCAATAGTTTGAGGACAGATTAGATATGGTTAGGCAACCTAACTACTGTTAAGTACTTTATTTGAGAAGCGAAAAAGGGATGTACTTTTAATTTGATCGTTACAATTAATATATATATAATCCGCTACTGAAGCCGAACAATTGCATGTTTGGAGGAATAATAAACAAAGTCCACATTGCGTATACGTAATGTGATTGTGGCTCGGATCCATGAACAATGCCAAAATAGATTTATTAGCGCGTGATATAATTTGCATCTAAAATAAAAACTAAAAACTGCTTAGAATATGACTTTGGAGTGTGAGAGAACATCTGGGCTAAGCTTAGACAAGCCTTTTTCTGAATAGCACACTACGCCATATTGAAAACTTTTCATATAAATACTTGACGAATGCGTGGTATTGCAAATAAATAAACGCCTATGCGTGTTTCTACACACTTACATACACACTATATATCTATATATGAACATATATTTATGTACATTCATACATACGAATATACACATAAGTGTGCAGGGCATATGGCCATGCATATCTATGTACATACATATATGGCTAGCAGTTGCGAATACATTATATACATATTTTAATCAGTTTTGTATATATTGCAAGATTTGATTATACATACTCTGTCGTTAATACATAAACGCACACACACTCGCTCACTGCAGGTTGTAGTAAAAAACTGCTAATAAATATCTATTGTGAAAAAACTGTTGCATACTTGCCGGCGCGCGGTGTAAATTACCATCAAGAGGGGAGAAACCAAAGCAGAACTGCAATTCCAGAGAGCGCATCAGAGAGAATGGGGGAGTGAGAGTAAGAGAGAGAAAGAGAGAGCACACGCACCCATTCTAGCAACCCCCAAAGACTGAGCCGAGCACTAAACACAAACGGGACGACAACTCAAAAGCGAAAGCGAGGAGTCAACATTCATAGCGTGTGTGCGTGTGCGTGTGTGTGTGTGCGCAAGTTTGTTTCAGTGTATGTGTGCGTTTGTGCGTGCTGTCCTGCCGGCACGCCAAGCGTCGGCATTTTAAAGAGTAAATAATTGTCTATGTCTGCCAAACATTTGCGCTTTTGACCAAACAGCTAGTCGAACAGCATCGCATCGCATCGCATCGCTTTCGTCGGCCAAACTCTACACAATTTTAGGCGCCGGTCAACACGCCGGCCGTGCCGTGCCGGCACATGCAACGCACTTTCAATCAGTTTACGTTATAACGTCAGTGCCGACACTACGTCATCCATTCGACTTTCCCTAGCAGTGCGGCCGTTCAGCGTTGTCAGCCGATTTCGTGAATATTGCGTCTTTTGCCTTCCGTATGCGTGCGCGTCTCTCTGTGTGTGTGCCTGTGTGTGTTCGGAGGGGGGCTTGTGTCTGGGTCTATGTACGTACAGTTTTTACTTTCGCGCCTCAATACTCCACGACCCCGTAACTACTGCCATTACCGTTATCGATACCGTATGCCAACTATTTCGACTCCGATGCAAGTGCAAAAGTCAATCCGACATGTTAATTATTTTTAAGTCCAAACTTGTGTAAAAGCAAGGCGTGTATCCATTAATATTCAAAAAGGACTATTGGCGGTTTATTTATTTTCTCATTCAATACGGTTGTAATCTAAGGCCTATTTAAACGAGGTAATTAAAATTTAAATTAATCGGAGATCAAAACACATCAATCAGATTTAAATTGTATAAAAGTTTAAAATAATATCGCCTATTATTTACTGATTAATGTCTTTCAGTTATGATTTTAAACAAGATATCTTCTTTTTTTTAATTTGATTAAACGATGGTAAATAATTTAAATTTCATTGGACTCTTAAAATATTCCTTTTAAAAACTATTTCTTTACACAAAAATAAATTATATATATTTAAAATAAAATAAGTTAAATGGTTATCAACAAACTCTTATTTTTATTTTATTTTAAATAGTTACTACCATAAATATTCGTTTTACTTTCATTCATATTTAATAAATATAAATGAGAAAAACATACGTGTGTTTATTTTAATCACAACTTCTCTCCAAATACGAAAACTATCGCGAGATTTAAGAGCCAAATGAGAAAAGGTTTTTGTTGTATCTGACTATGCTGCATTATTTGTGAATTTGTGGCAATTGATAACTAAACTATAAATAATAATAAAAAAAAATGTGTAATGAATGGTAGCAATGTAATGGCCCAAAGCTTTTATTTTGAGATCTCAGGCTTACATTTTTGTTTTTAAAACGCGCGATTGTTATATTCAGACATGATGCGGCGGAAGAGGTAATTAATTCACTGAAAAGTCCAGGTGCGTTGAGCTTGGTTTTCAACTACTTAAGTGACTGAGCTAATAAGTAAGTTACAGCTACAGAGCTGCTAAATATTCATTTAAATGTTGTCTCTTCAAGGTTTTAAAGAGTATTAAGCATCAACTCAGTATTCTACAACATGCGAGTAGATGTATTAACAATAAGAAGCCAGCATCCAAATTTAACTAAACCGATATCTATACTAGAGTCATTGAAATAAAAAGTCCAGGACTAATAAGCACTCATCAAAATATAAGCTGATATATATTGGTAGCTATTCATTATTTTGAATTTTAGTTTCATGCATTTAAGTGTTAATGTTAATAATGTTGATTTCAAAAAATCTTCGATTGTTTGCATAGCAATTGCAATTCGATGCGCTATTTAAGTTTTAGTAAATAATAGATTTTATTAAAGAATACTAACTGTTTTACACATGCGAATAACAAAATGTCGCCTATTCCAATTGTGATATTGTTGGGTTACACAATTTTTAGCACAATATTGACAAAATCAGCTGCTCGTAGTGAGTAATAATAATGAAGGGTGTAATTGCTGAATTGCTAACTTTGAAACCTTACAGAGTGTGGAATCCACGAGGAATCTGTTTGTGTTAGACCTCTTTCATGCGACGCACCATGCAGTACGTGCGCGGAACTCTTCTGTGCATGTAAGGTTGGCTACAGAACCAAACGCCTGAAGGGTGGCACTAAAATCTGCAAGCGACGTACAAAATCAAATTCCGGATTGCTCTAAAATATGTGAACTATACAAAATGCTGGATCTCTTTTAGTTATAAACCCAAAGGTTATTAAAGGAGGAAAGAAGGAGGTGTAAGAAGTCACAAGCCACAAAACCAAGTCACAAATACTTGTAGCCTCTTCCGACTGGTCGTCATTTCTGTATGTATTCAAAAGCAAGAGGGGGGAATTTTAAAGACAACATTAATCAGCAGTTTTAAAAAAGTAAACATGTGAATATCAGAACTTACGTTTCATTTTCGTACTTTGTAGAAAAATTTCAAAAGTAAGAGGGAAGGAATTTTAAAGCCAACATTAATTAATGTGAATATCAATAACTAAGCAATTAGGTGAATGCGTCACATTTTTGTACTTTGTAGATAAATTTCCTAGGTGGATGTTTATAGTTATGATATAAGATTAAAATTTGTTATTCAACGCATCTGCTGAAATCTTACACCATAGCTGTAATAAACAAAATCACTTACGCTCGCACAAAGTTATTTGATCAACGGTAAAAACCATCAACTTTTCATAGAAAATACCTTAATAGCTTTCTCTAGATGACTACCAAGCGAATAAGTTATATTTTACAATCCGCAAACGCGTGAAACACACAATTGGAGAAGGTATAGTACCGATAGTTTCCTTTCTCATTTCAAGCCATTATACCTATGAAGGAGTAGAGGTGTGCGACACAATTGCTAATAAGTACTTAACAATATATTATGTGTGTGTGTGTCTGGGTTCTGAATATTAAGCCATCATGTGCATAATGTATACGCCCCATTAACCGACAACGCATGTGACCGCGTTTCCAAATTCTCAACAATATATGTATGTATGTACATATGTATATTTGTGTGTATGTGCCTGCATATGAGTCCCTGAATGCACTTCTCACACGACCACGACCACGGCCACGGTCACGGTCATGGCGTTATTTTGGTGATTGCGATTGCGCTGCCGTGTGGCGCAATTTCACTTTCATGCCTCACCCAGGCAGTCAACCAACCAACCAACCAACCAGCCAGCCAGCCAGTCATCGTATCGAGCAGACCAAAACCAACCAAACCACCACATAACAGCAGCAGGAACAGAAAGCAGGCGACGAGCAATAAACAAGCAACGGGCGCGACTTCACTCAGCCTCAGTTTGTCTTCGTTACCCACTCACCAGTCGAGTGTGCGACCCGACCTGGCATTGACAATGACGCCACCAGCACCAGCTCCAACACCAACACCAACACCAATACCATCGCCATCGCCATCTCCATGAACATCTCCATATCCACCACCACCACCACCACCACCTCCACCATTGCCAACACCAAAATCGTTGGCGTTGTCGACGTCGTCGCACTTGGCCTGCCACTTGTAACACATTCGGTTGGGGCGGTTGACCAGCAGCATGCGGCAAAGGTTTCTCGCTGGTTGGGAGTGTTTGGTTTGCATCTCCATTCGGCGCCCAGCACCGATGATGCAATGCGAAATGCGACCGAAGCCGCATACACAAACACAATCGCATACACACACGAACACACACGAACACACATAGACACACAAACATCAACATCAGCACCAACACAGGGCAGGATACATCAAGCACTCGGGAGAGCTGCACTCCCCATGCTCAGCTGCTGTCTCTCCACCAAAGGCGTGCGCTCAGTTCTTACTCGCCTGCCTTTCTGCCCTGCCTAGCTGTTTCCCCAATGTTGCAATGCAGCCTGAGTGCATTTACCTCTGCGGTTTTGGTGGACGTGTGTCTCTGTGTGTGTGTGTGTGTGTGTGTGTGTAGGTATATATATATATGTATGTGTGTCATATTCGTTTATTCTGAGCCACGTGCATGCGGCCAGAGTCGCGGAGTTGCCGTCATAGTCGCCGTCATCGCCAGCTTTGGAATTCGTGTGCGTGGCCTGATTTCGCTGATTGGCCTTGCTTGCGGATTTTCAGTGTCAGCAGCACAGCATCTTTGTTGTTGTTGTTGTTGTTATTGCGAGTATGACGGTTACTCGCGAGTTCACTTGCATATGCAAATACACATGCACATACACGCACATACATACAAACACACACACTTGTATGCGAGGTGCATGACTGTTTGGAGCCGGTGGCAATTCCTTATGCAGATTATGCGCTCTGACCCACATCTGCTGAAAGTGCAGCAGACAGCCAAGTGGGCCTTAATGTACTACATATGTATATACAAGTATGCACATACATACATATATACATATAATATCGTATTTCGCAATTGATGTTACTGGCTTAAAGGGGGACTTTCAGAGACATTTTAGAACTATAAACGACTATAAAAAGTACCATATTTAATTGCTTGGTTAAGCGATATTTATTTTATTTATTATGCCAAGCCAGAAAATTGCTAAAAAATCATTATATGTATACTTCAAGCTTTATTCCATAAGTTCTAGTGCTGAAAAATTTAAATGATTCCGATGGATTTAATCTTTCAGATTTATGTATGGGAGCCAATCATCACTCAAAGAAGATGTTGTCATTACGCAAATATCACTTCTTTAACAACTTATTATAATTTTCGTTTTCGTTCGTAATTCGTATAAACTAACCAAATAGGCATATATAAAATTTACGAATATTTAGCACTTTTTAGATGAAATTACATCTTTATCTGCCATACTACAGAATTTCTTTTTTACAAATAAAAAATTAAATTTAAAAACTACATTTTAAAAGATAAGGCTATTTTCGACTTTAAAAAAAAATTCTTTAACGTGAAATATTGAAAATATTGTACTAAATTGATTCTCATAATAAATTCGTTGGGTTTTGAATACAATATCTAAATTAAAAACCATCCAACCGAATATGCTGTAACATCGAATTGAGATTTCTGTGGCATCTCTCTATTAGGTATCAGTTTTGGGAGAACAATCAATACTGCTGCTTATAAATTATAAATAAAATAAATCATAATATAAAAAAAATTATGAAAATATTGTGCATACTAAATTTGTTGGCATTGTAAATTAGCTAGAACTATATTTAATAAAATATGTTTACAAATACAATATCCAAATTAAAAACTAACCAACCGAGTAACAACCTCGAATTTAGATTTTTGTGTCATCTCTTTATTAGGGATCGGCTCAGTTTTGGGAGAACAATCAATACTACTGGTTGTAAATAAATCAAGGGGGAAGTGGGAAGATTTTTAACGTAATCACAGCAAAGTTGTTCATGAAGTCCAGTCCCTTACATATATGTATCATTAGCGACTAACTTAGGATTAAAATCCAAAACTCATAATGAGTGCTGAGCCTTTTTCACACTAACAACCATTCTGATTAGTTTAGATTATTTCAAGATTAAACATAAGTCGAGCTTTATTTATTTGTAGAAAGTTATAATTGGGATCATTGCAGGATTATCCCCCAAAAACATTGGGTTTATTTATGAATAATCAGCTGTAAAGTAATCTAGAGAATATATACAGAGTTGGCTAATTAAATCCACATGGTGCTGTCAATAGATTCTAAAACAGCTGTAATTTTGTATTGAGATATTATCGATTCTGTCTTCAAAGCAAGATTTTGGCTTACAACTCAGTGCAGGAAAGTTTTCAGTTTCAATTTCAAAAACACTGCAAAAATGTTTGTTAATAACAAACTCAAACAATTTTATTTGATGTTTTCTCAATTAAGCCTCAGCTCAATGTCGGTTACAAATATGAAACTAAAAGTTTCTATCAGAGTATGAACATAAAATGAACACTATATTCACTAACTATACTAAAACACCATCTAGACAAAACTCTATACCGTTGAACTGTTAAAAAATCACATGATTTTATTAAATTGTGTATGATTAATAGAAAAAGAAAGAGAATTATAGTTATTGGTTATTTGTTTCTATTTACTTGATATGTTTTTATTTATTAGGAACTTAAAAAGTCATTTGTAATTACTACTATTTATTTCAAATAAACTTTTGATGAAAATGCTATTGTGTGAATCGTGTCTGCAACAGAGCCGAATTGACGGCCTCTTTGTCCATATAATGGTTCGCATGTTTCTGTTCGCAAACGCCATGAGATCTCCGATAGCCCTTGCGACAAACGCATTTCGGATTATAGCAGTATCTTTCTGCAGGACAGTATCGGCCTGCCGGACACTTTATGCGCAAACAGCTTACTTCCTCGTTGGCCTCGCAATTCACGCCCATTACTTTATAGTACTCTGGGAAAACGAATTTGAAATATATGCCCTCATTTATGAAATATATGCCATCGCAATCACCATTGTTTGTGGAGCGGACTTGGCCGACACCAACCAGACCTACGAATAAGACAAGACTCCAGGTGTGCATTGCGTTCTAAACTGGCTTTCGGAATTTTCATTGTACATATTTGTGTAAATATTAATTTGAATTTTAAGACTTCGGTGTGACCAATTGCTAATCAATTAAATGCAATATATGGTAAGAAATATTTCTTAAAGTATACAGTGGATAAAGTTAGTGAAAACTGAAGCACAATTGTATAATTGTTCAGGTTCCCCAATAATCCCTTTGAGGACTGCAATAAACATGCGAAAACTTTCCAAATATTTTATATTAGAATAGTTTCAAGACAGGTGTTTTAAGAATGTCCGATTTCCCTTCCGTTAGCGGTGTATGTCCCGACTCATAGCATATAATGTACAGTATATAAAAATGAAGTAGCTTTAGTTTCAGAATTCTGAATAAGAATTCTTGATTCAAATTTATTAAAATAATTAAAAGGTATAATACTTACAATATGTAATTAAATCGCATAATATGTTGAGTTGATGCTACGAAATTCATGTTCCTACAACAAATACAATAAGCTAGGAATTTTGTTTTTATGATCGATTTAAAATTGTGGGCTTTATGGAAAAACTGAGGTCTCCTCACACAAACAAACAAACTATTTAGTTTTAACAGAAGCTAGAGACCATGTTGCAGTTAGGTTTTATACATCCTGATATCTTTGTTAAACAGACAGACGCCGAGATACACAGACATACATATATAGAGAATTCTTGCATCTTGCATTATTTCGCATAGAAATCCTAACAAACATGACAAAATTTTGGAGAAATTTTTAAGACATGAATTAGTAGAAAAGGCAACGCAGCTCCGCTAATTGATTCCATGTATATATGTATATATGCACATACATATGTATGCGTATGACAGAAAGAGAACTGTTCATACATCGAGCTACATTTTGAGTATAGTTTTTAAGTGAATTTTAAGGGTTAAGCTCATTTGCATTTTTGTAAACTAAAATGCGTCGGATTTTAGTTGTCGAGGATAGGCGCAGACACATTCAATAGTATAATCATAAAGTGTAAGAAGGATGTTGTTTTATTGGCTAAAGTTGTTTGTAGTATAAATTGTTAAACAACACGATTTTGTTGTTTACTTAATAAAGTTTACAAATATTCAAACAACGGTGACGGGCAAAGAAAGCCATGCCGATTATTGAGGTATAAAAGGGAAAAAGAGAGCGACAGTTGCGTTTTGAAGCTCTCGCACTAAACGAGGCGCTCACGAGACCACAGGACGCACACACACACACACATACACAGACAACTACATACATATATAAAAACAAATGTAGTTACGCGTTGGAAAGCCGGCTGGGAGCCTCGGCACGAAGCTTTCGTCTCGTGTGTGCATACAGCGAGCCCGAAGGAGAAGTTGGAGTGAATGCCACGGCGACGGGTCAGTAGCAAATTTGCGCCACACGCCGTTAGGTGGCCTGTCGTGGATGCGGCAGCATCACACACTCACACACACGCGCACACACACATACACACACAAAAACAGGCAGGCAGGCAGAGGGTGAGGCTGAGGCAGAGGAGCAAAAAGTGCGCTGGTGTGGGTGTGCTAGTAGTTTGGTGCATGCAGACAAAATAACGGAGCTGGGGCTGCAGCAGCAGCAGCAGTCGCCGCGACGCCAGCGACGTCAACGCAGGCATTGCAACGGCAGCCACCTACCAACGGCCAACTTACCGACAACAACCATCTGCCTACAGTTCTTGTTGTTGTTTTTCTTTCTTTCGCGACCCAAAAGGCAGCACACAACGTCCTCCAGGTCTAGGTATGTACAAGAATATACATATGTGTGCATGTGGGTGTATGGTCGGCGTGTGCCAGTGTGCGTGTGTATGTGTGGCACGTAGTAAAAATGAAAAATAATCCAAAAAAAGAAAAAAATGTTAAGAGCAACACTGCAATTGGTTGCACTTTCACACTGCAGCCGATCGGCTGCGGTCGGCACAAGCGTCGGCGTCGGCGTCGACGTCGGCTTCAGCGTCAGCTTTTCTTTGTGCAGGCGCGGCGTCTTTGTGGCGGCAGCTTGCGTTTTTATTGTGTCACAAAAATCGCGCGCGTCGTCAAAGGAAAAACAAAAATGGTGATATAAAAATAAAAGCATTGCGAAAGGGCAATAGAAAGAAATAAAATCAACAAACAACAACAAAGTGAAAGCATTGCTGTTACGAAAACTTACCGCTAAACGAAAATGCCGTTATGGTTGCCATTGGCGCTATTGGTGTCGCTGCGCCGGCTGCCAGTAAACGAGGTGCGTGTGTTTGTGTGTGCGCCGCCAATGTTGCCTCTCACAAGCCCAATTAATCAAGAAACTTATTTACATACGTACATATTGTATGTACGTACGTACACATGCTACGTACTTAGTGAAAATCGATATGGCAAAAGCTGGCTTGGCTCACCGACTAATCAGCTGCAACATCGCTATAAGCTGTCCTTCGCATTTCACAATTCAATTTTTCGCATTTTCATTTGAGTTTTTCCCTTCTCTGACATTTTAGCAACACTAGCCGTCTGATGTGCATACTTGTATTCCAAAAACAAACATACATACAGACACACACACACACTTACATACATGCGACAACCCTAACCTAATCGCCGCGTGCCGACGTAGTAAGTTTTCCAAAAGTACCGAGCAACTGGCCACGGTTCGGCTGATTCTTGCACAGAGCGCAGGTTTGCCGCTCTTTTTTCTACTCACAGGGTGGACGACGGCACGTATACGTTATATTCTAATAGCGAGCAGTGTTGTGTGTGTTGCTCTGTCTCTGTGTGTTTGTCTGTATGTGTGCGATTGTGCATTTGTGTGCCAATAACAACAGCAACAACAGCAACTGCAACAGCAGTATATTGTTTTCACTTTTCATGCAATAGGCGTATTGCACTAAGTTTAAATGATAAGCGCTTTTCCTTTGCGATAAGAATAACACAAAACAAAGATATAACAAATAGAGCAAAAATCTACAAATATGATCACTGGTTTTAAAAGTATAATCAAAAAAAAAAAAAAAAAAAGATTGTTGAAGAATAATCTACATATGCTATATGTATTTTGGAACTTTAACAAATGGTCAACCTCTAAGTACTTGATAAAACATGTTTCCCATTAAACTAAATATTAACCAATTATTTATATATTTTTCAATTTTTCCCATAATAGGCATTGCATTTTTTAAATGAATGCATTTCTGACTAGGGTCGAGAAAACAAATCTGATATTAAATACCGTGGCAATAGCCGCACAATCAAATTCGTAGACATTTTCGTCCTTTCGTCCTCCAACGCTTATAAACTTAAATTTCTGTCTTCTTCCTCCCTTAGTGGTTAATTTACTTGGTCTATACCTTTTTAGGATATAGTATGACAGGTTTTTCTTTGGGTTTGATTTTGGTTTTGTCCATTCGGTTTTACAAAATAATGTGAAACAAATAATCAAAACAAAATTAACACAAATACGATTTAAATATTGTCTTTAAAAAAAAAATCTATAAAAAAAAGAGAGATAGGCCGTTATCGTGGTGAAATGCAAAGAAAACTTTTGTTAATTAGAATAATATTTTTAAAATCATGTAAGTTTAAATTTAAATATTCACTACAAATTGTTGGAAAGTAACAATATTATTACACTGTTATCTCGAAAACTGTCTTACTATTGCTGGGAAGATTTCATTTCTTTTCTCATTAATTTATATACAGTATGCATACCTCAAAATTGGAGTACATATGAAGAAAACTTAAATCTTTAGGTTTTGGATGGCTGCGATGAAACTGAAAATTGTTGCCTAATTTCTCCTCATTGAATTAAAACTTTTGGGTGAAAGCTAACACCCGCATTTGATTTGTTGAGCATGTTCTAGAAAAATATGTTATTCCTTCACTTTAATTTTAATTCAAATGAACCTTCAGTTCCCCAGATCCAGGCGCACAGCGAAGTCCCTTTGGCCAGTCAAGAAGTAATAGACGAAACCCATAATGAACTTCACACCATTTGGCAACACCTTCCCCGGCAGCATTCCCGGCCTGCCGCAGTTTACGACGACAACGGCGCCCCTGGTGTCCACCGTGACGGCTGCGGTTGCTGATGTGACGGTTACGGCAACCAATAACCAACAGCAGCAGCAGCAGCAACAGCAAGATGCCGGCGGCAGCAGCAATCGTTACCAACAGCAGGCAACGACCAGCGTGGGCATCGGGCACTTCAATCAGCCAGTCATGTCAGCCATCGCCACCATGCCAGCCACCCAGAGCAGCAGCAGCGGTAACAAGTTTCGCAGCGGTCAGGATGACGCAAGCCAAGCCGACAAATACAACGGCCATCTGTTGACAGTGGCCAGCGGCAATGCGTCGCAGCAGCAACAATATGCGACGCTGCCGAGTGCATCCTTAACCTACGCACAGAATACCACAACAAGTACAGCAGATGCGCTACAGGCCAGTGGATCAGGACAGCAGCAGCAACAACAGCAGCAGCAGCAGCAACAATTGCAACAGCAACAAGTGGCCCCTCAGGAGCTGACACAAGATCTGTGCAATGCTATACTGCAACAACAAGGTGAGTCTAATCTTTATATTTACCTTTAATTTAACATTCTCGAAAAATATTAGACCCGTAGAAACCATTCTATCTTCTTAAAATAAAAAGCTATAATTAGAATGTTAATTGGTCTTGAAAATGAAATCATAACTGAACAAGAAATGGTTTATTTATTTCCCTCGTCACAGCAACGGAAGATATTGTAGTGTTTTATAATTTTATTCAATCAGTTTAAAATATTCCAAAATATTCAAAAATTAAAATAAAAACATAAATTAACTCTTTTGGTCTCATGATTGCCTCAGGGTTTTGTGGTTTTCATCCTTATACTTTCCAAGACATTTAATACACCAACCTGATGAACATACTCTAAAAATTCTCGCTCAAATCAAATTAATTTTTATTATTGAATTGCTTAATAGAATATTATTAACTATTTTACTCTTTACAGTGCTACAAAATACCTCGTGGCAAACGCTTACGCCGGGCACCACAGTCGCCGACTACCTCTCACATCTTCCAGCGAACACGCTCCCTCTGTCATTGCATCACTTCCTTAAGTACTCGGCGGAAACAATCAAAAAGGAGAACCAGCAGAATGTTGTAAGTCTCTCAAAGTTAAACTACCACTAAGGCACAGATTTCTATATCTCTGAATTGAATATTTTCATTTTGTAACAAAGAAAACTTCAGAAGTTTAGTTACTCGTATTGGATGTCCATTATGATTAAATTAGCAATCAATAGATTAACACATAGCTGGGTCTTAACCCAAACTTGCTATTCTTCATTGCGAAGAAACATATATTGTAAGACAATTATGAAAATGTCTGCATATACATTTATTTTATTTATTTATGTATGTAACAAACATTGACTGTCGACATAGGAGAAAGCCAGAAAGGCCTAAGAAGGAGAAATCTTATCAAATTACAATAATATCTAACTAACGTCTCCGACCAGGTAGGGGAATATATAGGATTTATTTACTACATTAGCATCCTATCATAAAGAATATTAATAAATAATCTCAATTGCAAATCTACACAACCCTCAATTGAGAATTAGAAACTTATCGCTTGATTTAAGGGAACAAATCAAGAAGGTATATTTTAATGACAAGTATCAGTTTTTCGTCATTGATTTTAAATACTTTGCCACGTTTACGTTTATATGAGATTGCAGGAAACAATTCAATTCAACAAGAGTTAAATATTTAAATTTCTAGCATGTTAAAGGAGAGTTTTTAATTGCTCATATGTTAGTTGGTTTGTTCTACCAGTAATATTAACTACTCTATTTATTTGTGCAATGTGTTTAGGTGCTGCAGGTACAAACGGGACCAGCCATTGGCATAAACACGATCGGCACCACAACCATTACAATACCTCAGCAGGAGCAGCAGCAGCAACAGCAAATGCAACAGCAAACGCAGCAGCAACAGGCAACACTGCAGGTGCAACAAGTCCAGCAGCAGCAGCAGCAGCAACAGTTGTCTGGGGGTGCAGCTGTTACCGCGACGGTGACGGCCAGTAGTAGCACAGCTGCAGCCACCAGCACCAAGAAGAAGAAGCGCAAGAAGCGACCCAAGGATCGCAAGCCAAAGCTGCGGCCGGGAGAGATACGCCTGGGAACAGCTTTAGATGGCAGTCCGCTTTACATGTGCCCCGAGTGCCATGTGGCCTATCCGGAGCCAGAGCTGCTCGAAGTACATCTGGTGGGTCACAATCTGGAACGGCGTTATGTGTGCGACATCTGTCAGGCATCCCTGAAGCGCAAGGATCATCTAACCCGCCACAAGCAGTCTCACAATCCTGAGCGGCCCTACATCTGTACGGTCTGCCTGAAGGCCTTTAAGCGGAAGGAGCAGCTTAGTCTGCACTTTGTCATACACTCGGGCGAGAAACGGCATCAGTGTCAGGAGTGCGGCAAAGGATTTTATCGCAAGGATCACCTGCGGAAGCACACCCGCTCTCATATTGCCCGTCGCGTCAAGGCCGAGCTGAACAGTCACATACGACGCGAGAACGGCACAAGCATGTTGCAGCCGGTGGTTACAGCCGCCACCATAACGGCGGTGCAGCACGCCAATCAGCAGCAGCAACAGTTACAGCAACAGCAGCAACAACAACAGCAACAACAACAACAACAGCAGCAGCAACAACAGCAGCAGCAACAGCAACAACAACAACAACAGCTGCAACAGCAACATCAACAGCAGCATCATGTTGTCGTCAGCCAGCAACAGACTCAGCAGCAGGTGGCAGGGCAACAGCAGCAAATGCTTAATTAGCCAAATGATTTTTGTAAAGTCAGTTAAAGCAAAATTCAAAAATCAATCGACAGCAGTGCAATTTGCTTCCAGCTTTCGATCAATCAAATCAAATAATCTCGGTCCACGCAATTTAATTGACTCACACAAATCGGATATCCACGACAAATATCATTCACGATACTACCATAGTTCCAACAATAACAAATAGCGAACATCCTCAGCATTGTACAATTATTGTTACGCAACACATTATGGGGCGCCCATTTGAGGCAGACAATGATATGAAAACTAAAAACAAAAAAACTCAAGATTTATTTTTGAAACTAACTTCGTTCTCAATCGAACCGGCAGTATAGTACAATGTTCTGCCAAAATGCAAATCGCTTCCATTATATTTTAGAAAATGTTTGTGTCATCTGACCCTTTAATGGGCGTCCATGTAAAAAGTACATTAAGAGAATTTTGCAGAGAAATCATAATTTTATATGCGATTTGCGTATTTTAGTGAAATGTATTTTTGTACAAAATGATTCTATGTATGTAATATGTACTATATAGTATATGTAATTTTACGAACATCGCAGCAAACTATGTACGAGTATTGAATACAGACACACAAAACCGAAACGCAATTAAGCTGTAGGAATGAATTTATGTATAACTTTTTACTACGCATACAAACATATGTATAATAACAAAAGACGATTTGTAAATATGCAAAGAAACCTTGACTTTTAAAACGAAGCAATATGAGAGACAGGGTGAGTAATCAAATAGCAGAAGTATAATTTTCGAATTAGCTGTTCGTCAGCTCTCCCATAAATACTATAATTAAAAGAGCCTAGATGATGAGTCAGCCATTTTAAATAAAGGAAACACAATTTAAGCTAAGACTATGGCTAATAGAGCTTGTAAAATATTATCAAGAGTAATAACTATTATTTTCAGCAAAATTGTTCTTCGTCGTCAACTCTTATAATTCAATTACAGAGCAAAAGAAATTAAGTCTTGGGGAACAATCTGGTAATATCATTTTTATCTCAAAGGAATCCATCTTCTCCTGCAGCATTTTCAGTTTCTGATAGGTATTTCCCGCAATCATGGAATCGATATGGCTGAAATGTGACATCGGCGAACGGACAAAGTAGCAGCATAAATGGAGCATCTGAAAAATTAAAATGGTTAGATTTTACAACCTTCAGCAATATACAAATTTGACGTTTAACTCACCTGTAGAAGCAACTCATGAAGTGGAAGGAGTTCAACAAACATTCCATCATTATTGAACAGTTTTAATAAAATCGATTTTACAACTGAGAAATTTTCGCAATGGCGACTTTAAGACTTATGTCAAAAAACACATTGAATCCCTGAACATTTATAAAACCATTTTCCACAATTTGATGTTTTCCATTAGTTTTCAGACGCATCAGCTTATACTTACTGATTGGATGGAATTCTTAAAGTAACAGTAGCGGCTTCATAAGAAGGACCGGATGAAAATCATCGGGGTACTCAACAAGCTTGCCCTTTCTATAACTAGCTGTACAACAAATAGAGTTTTATTCCCTGTCGCCAAATTGAAAAGAAGAATACTGAAACCGACTCAATTAATGTACGGCCGAGAACAGCAAATTCTGAGGAATCATTTGTGGTTTATAGTGTACTTTTTGTATGGTATGTTCGACCTTTGTATGTGAGCTAGAGATGAGCATGAGCCGACTATTTTCGGCCCGACACGACAAGGCACGAAATGAAGTTTTAGAAAAACGTACGCTAATACGACCCAACACAAACCTCTTATAGCCATTAAAAGTAAAAATAAAATATATACCCATACTACACATTTTTATTAAGAAAGATTATCTTATCTATGTTTGAGCTAAGAAATAGGGACATACATAGCCAGAGTCCTTACCTGAAGAAAGAATAACAGAAGGGTGCATTTTGGACAAGCCTGACAATGAAATACCCTGTATCCTATTTTATGTAGCCATGGGAGAAGCAAAATAAAGAAAAAAAACCGGCGGCTACAGCATGGGCGACGAGAATTCGCGAATATCTATGCAATTAGGAGCTAAAATAGGGCACACAATAAAATCTTAGTTATCGCATACAAAGTAATACGGTTATTGTGCAATTAGTACAAAAATGCAGGTCGTACAAAGATCAAATATTCAATGTTCCGTTTTAAGCTCGGCTAATATTAATTGAAATGCTTGAAATGAAAAGACAAGTTTATTATTTATGAATATCCTAGTAGCCAAAATTCGTAATTACCGAAGATGCAGTCGAATAAGTACTCGAACTTATCAGAAAAATCAGCCAAAATCTGTTTAAACACGTGCATCTTTCCCAATTGAGCGCTAAATCGAACTGAGATGAAAGCTCTACAAATATCGATATCGATTTTAATCGAACGATTGGGTCTGCGGAAGATCTGTTCTGCTGGCTTCTGTCGGGCAAATTGATTGTTGATTTTTTGACCTTAAATCGCATTTTTACCATCAACCACTCCAATAATAGGAATGCGATGTTTGGATTAGCTATCGGAGGCCTTAAGAGCTGGAGACACCAAGTTCTTCATTACACATTTGTTTATTGTTTACCCTTTTTTTACATTTTTTAAAATTATTCTTCACCTGAGTATAGAGTATTTTTAAGTCTGGTCACCCAAATTTAGCTTTTCCACTTGTTTTCAAAAAGTCCTGTTTACGAGCACTTTGGGATGCACCTTGTATAGCGAACCATTGTATGCTCTTTTGTCTGCTCTGCGTGCAGGTGTTAAACAGCTGGATAAAGCTGAAAGGATGTATACAGCAGCTATAGAATGAATCACACGAGCGATATCTGTTTGTGACAGATTGTCAATGTATTGCACAGTTGCACATTCAGCAATTTCGTATAATATATAACATTTGTACGAACTCTGGTTGCTACAGAGCGGCTGGTATAGAAAGGATCGAAGCCAGGAATCAAAAAACCCTTAGACCTCCGCTTCGGAGCTCCAAGCGCCATTACATGTTTACTGTCAATTGCGTTGCTGGTTAGTGCCGGATCTAAAGATAACCCGTTTGCATTTAAATAATGGCTGAGTGGATATACGACACCAACATTCCAAGTCCTAGTCCCTATGTTTATTCAAAATAAACTACGAATTATTATTTTATAATCAAAATATTTTCTACAACTTCTGAGCTATAAAGAAATATAGTTTCCTAACAATTTAATTCTTAAAAATCATATATATTTACAGGTTTCCAGTTATTTTATTTAATATATATTCGTACGTTATGATTATTATGCACCATTTATTGATTTCTATTAAATATTTTTCATTATTGTTAGTTATTTATGTATGTTTATGTGTATCATGTGAACATGGATGGTGTGTTATGCATTTATATAGTGCGTACAAATTAGATCTTAAAGTAATCTATGTAATTTATATAAAACATACGTTAATTATACATACATATGCAGCAAGGTAGAAGAGAATAAAATTCTACATTGCAATTATTTTATAACGAATTTAGCTCGTAAGCGAATTAAGAATTGAAAATGTTCAAAAGTTATCGAACAATTTGTAATTTATTCATGTAAATATGGAATTGAAACACACTCATACATATTTACGGTGAAGTCGAATGAATATATGTATGTGCTAACAGTTGCCTGACAACTAGCCCCATTATAAATTCATTGGGTTTTTTTTTTTTTTTTGGGGGGGGGGGGGGGGGTTTGGTTGCCTTAAGGAACGCGCACTCATCAATTTAGCACAAGTTTTTTCCTACATTTATGTTTCCGTTTCTCTGTTTCTTGCTCTGTTTATGTTTTGTTTTATTTTGGTTAAGGTTATCTCTGTTTTGTCTTCGTTGCGAAAATAAAATCGAATCACTGTACAAACAACAAGAAGCCGGTGCTCTGTTTAGTCTACGGTCCGAAGAAGTATTTGCGTTTCTGATCTTCCATGTAGTCTTGTGTCGACATTTGGATGGCGCGCTGCAGCATCTCATTCTCGTTGAACCCTGCAAATATAAATGTGAATCATTATTACATTAGTCTTTACAGTTTATTTTTCTAATCGATATTTATATAATTTTACCATCGTTAGCATACGAAGCTTCAAGCAGCTCTTGATAGAAACTCGAGCGGCTCTGTTTGGATGGCGTAGTCCCTGAGTTCCGCTTATCGGGCGTATGCGACTGTTTCGAGGTGCACGGCTGTTGCTCGGCGTCTGGTGTGCGTGAGCGACTTCGTTGTTCCTGTTGCTGCTGCCCAATGGTAGCAGGTGCCGACTCCCGCTTGGGACTCTTACGCAAAGGCGTTTCCATTAAATCCACACTGTAAAGATAAGTCAGGCAAAACTTCTTAAACCATCTCAATAAACATGCTGTTAGGGTAGTCTCAGTGATCTGAAGGTTCTACTATCCGCAGCGAAAGAAACTAATGTTTATCTGATTTTAATTTCTACATATTTCAATATTTTATATATAATATAATAGTTTTTCCTTGAGTAAATCAGAGCTACGCATAGAAAAATAAAACATGTGTTAAAGAGTAACCCAATATAAAACTTTAAATGGCGACTCGATCATCAAAATAAAAAGATCTCGAATTTATACTATAGAACAACGGTGACAAAATCCAACTGCCAATATTTCAAAAATGCATTTCACTAGCAAAACGAGAAAATTCAATTTCATTTTTCAATTTATAATGGTGGTAAGAAGCTCCTGCTAATCCGTTTGGTTTGGGTTGCCATAAAACAGTCTAGTCTAAAATTAAATTATTAAACTATCTATTCTGTTGTAAAAAAGCCCACAAGTCCACAAAATATGTGCCTATACTCTCTCATCTATTAGAAATTGTACTGTCGATAATATAGTATGAACATCAGTAGTCACCTTTTAACTGCATTTCCATTAGGGGTAGCTTCGCGATCGTGGCGCCGCTTCTTATTGCTTCGAATACCACCGTTGCGGCGCTGTGACTTACTCGTTTTGGCGCGCTGTGCAGTCGCTGTGGTAGGAGACGCATTGCCGCCACAGTGTCCGACGGAACTGGTGCTGCTCATATCGGTCGCATCGCTGTCGTAGCCACTCAGTTCACTGACGTCCGGCGGCAGCTTGTGCGAAAATTGGCTCAACGTCTTGGGGGATAATGTAAAGTTGCGTGATGAAGGAAGGCTCCCTGCAGCTGCGTTGTTGCTAGCACTTAAGTTAGTGCTGCTACCACCTACGACGACACCACTGTCGTTGGCCACGGAAGCGACAATATTGCTGCCGGTTTTGTTGCCACTATATTTGGAGGGTGAGGCATCTGAGTCTGTCAATGCCTCTGCCGATGTCACTGTAGAGGATGTAGCCGAGCCAGCGGCTGTTGTGTTACGCGTACGTTGCATATTGTCACGGCACCACTGCAAATAGGACTCACGTGCAATCTGCTCCTCGATGGCCTCATTGGTAGCTTCCCAGTCTGTCGTTTTCAATTTATCCTCGAACATGGTCTGTGTTAAGTGTAAGATTGTTGTATTAGTTCCATCATGTGTCTGTCGAATGTGACTAACCTGCTCGATTTCAAGCTGCTCGCTCATACGCACAGCCTCCTTGGTCTGAAATTCGGGTTTGTAACCAGCCAAGCCCAATCCCACGCCCACGGTAGCATTATAGGGATCCAATATAGCATTGTAATGTGAGCCACGTTGATAAGAGAGGCGCAGCGGGGGATAGCCGGCCTGCGACTGTTCCGAGTTAAATATATTTATTGGAGCTGCAAGCAAATTATATAAAATATTTTATAATTTTATAATAATGGATTGCTAGTTATAAATATTCATTTTCGGTTATAAATGAAGTGCTCTTTGGAATTTAAGAAAAAATTGGGATAAAATAATGTAAAATAGGAATTAAAGTAAGGATGTCTTTTTCTTAAGCCTCTCCCATGTTATCTTTGTGTATAACCCAAATAAGATACAATTTATATGAACACATCTATATTACGCAATATCTATACTCACTCGACTGATAACAGTAGACCTCGACCGTGCGACTGTAGATCTCTGATATAGCTTGAATCTCGATGTGGTTACCGTGTGCATCCCGAGCACGCTTACGTTTGATATAGCTATTGATATCCTCGGTGACAAATTGGCCAAAGTACTCCCGATTTTCATGCTGCGAATATAATGGTGAATAAACTGGCATGTCCAAATTCTAGGTACCTACTATATAGTCCATAGTATGTTGGCGTATGACATCGTGCATGTCCTCATCTCCATAAATTTGTAACGATATGGATCGAAATAGACAGGCGCCGTCCTCTTCGACTGGTCTTAGTTCATAGCCTCGTTGCTCCATACATTTAGCAAATTCCTCATCACGTCGCTGCCATTCCTCGGCCGATGTGGCGCGATCCTTTGGCTGCAAATGTTCATCACCACTGTTATACCCGGAAAAGGTATCCTCAACAGCTTTCAGCAAATTGGCTCCTACTGGCACTGGAGTGGCTTGCGCCTGAACTTTGGCCGCATTGGCACAACCGAGACCCTTATGTTCCGGCGACTTCCGTCCCACCGATGATGGACTACTGCTGGTTGCTACTGTGGGTGCCGGCACAGCGTGGGGACTGCTACATTTACTAGTCACGCCGGCAACACTGGACACAACCCCAGCTGCGAGGTTCAGTTTCTCGCGTTCCAAGCGATCCCGCTTGTGATGGTGAGCATGACTGTCGTGATGTTCGCGACGCTTCGTACGCGAACTATAAAACGAGACAACACATCAAAGTTCAACTAAAAATCTATTAAAAACAAATCAACTATGCTGGATAAAGGCCATATAACTTCTCCGCGTTCATTGAAGCAACTGATTTTTTTTTTGTGGTATCTACTCACAAATATCAGATGATTTTTACTTAAAAATTTCTGATTAGAGGGTGCTTTAAAAAAATGACGTAAGCGCACAGACAAGAGAGGTTTCTTCTCACATGCATATGCCTTTTGCTTCGGAAGCCAGTTTCGTTTTTCAAGATATGAACAAAACTACTAATTCGGACAAACCTCTTGCAACAAATGATCAGATTTTGTTAATAATCAGAATTTCTATGTAGATAATCTTGCGGCAAGGAACCTACCTCTTGTGTGGGCTGCACCGATGTGACCGCGCCAGCTCGTCGTAAACTTCTCCACGTCGCTGTGGGCTCTGTGTGCAGGCCAAGAAAACAAAAATAACACAATAGCCATTAGTTAGTCACGCTGCGCCCTAATGTGATGTTACCAAACACCAACCTGTCCGTGCCCATCGATGACGACATTACGATGTGGATTCACAACCGACTGCTCGACAACCACCTGCCCACCGACATGCGCTTCCTTTTTGTCCGCATCGACGACACTGCTCACTGGCTTTATAGTCATATTGCTGCTGCTGTTGCAATTATTGTTGTAAAATTACCTCGTAATTTCACTTTTACAATAATAGAATATGTATAATAGATGTTTCGTTTGAAATTTGTTATGAGATGCGCGACAATTCTATAACAAAACGCAGGGCTTGCTTAGTTTGCGCACACCTCGGGAGTCATCAGTTGCTTTCTGTTCACCTCTGTATTTTTTTGCGTATTTCACTTTGATTCTGTTTTCTTTGTCCGTACCCTAGTGTTGCTCCTTTCAAAAGTTAATGTATAAATGCATATACATATGTTTCTGTAATTCGGTAGACAAACGTATGTATGTAGAATCTTAAGGGATTCGTTTTAATGAATTTGAACAGCCTCGAAGTGAAGATCTGCTTTCAACATTTACTAAACATGTACTTTAATAGGAGAAAATTTCCAGCAAATACAAATTTGCTTTGTCTATGCTCTTACAATGCTCATGTGTGTGTATGTGTGTGCTGTTTGCTACGTTGTTCACAATTTTTAGACTCTTCACTAAATATCCGCGAAACATTTGCCTATATGTTATTAATATTATTTATTTATAAAAATGCTCCGATTTGGTGCATGTCGTTTGTTAAAATAGTTATATTACTCCTTCAGTTTCGGTCGATTTTTTATTTACACTCCAGTAAAATGTATCAGATGGAATTGTTATGCTTCTTCTTGCGTTTTTGGCATTTTTTAGGCATTTACATGAAGTCCACCAGATGGGTCTGTTGTCAACCGACAGGGGGCGCCACTGTCCGGCCTGTACGGCCCGTTGAAATTTAGTATTGATGAATTGTGAATACTTTCTATTTAACCAAACTAATTCTTAACTGCCTCCGTAGTAAAACAAAATTGGAGACAGTACTTTGCTTGTTGGTATTTAAGCTGCCGTAAATATTATTATTTCTGTAAAAATAAGTAAGCATGGACATTTTGTACATAGATTTTATTTCGAGAGCAAGATACAAATGATTATATAATATTAACGTAGACATACTTATAGCTACGAAGATAAATATAAAATAGTGGGAACAGAAATATTTAAACAGCTGTTTTTTTTTATATTTTTTAAACAATGCATCCACATCACGTACATATAGACAAACCTGAACACAAAAATGTATGACACTGAATTTGAAGAGATGTCTGTGGTTCATCTTTCAAGAACTTTTATTAAACCTTCACAGTACTTTTGTATGGTTATGTTGAACTTGTTGCTTTACGAGCATGCTTATGTGTGAAATGAGTCCATTCATCCCAATGACAGACTAAAATACGAACAGAAATAAGCAAAAAACTTACAGAATGCCCTTATTCACATGTTTTTAATTACATTTGCGATAATATATACTGGGGTGATCAATACAAAGGTGGCATAGGATCTATACGAAAAACCAGATCGTACCGCATATAGGCTATAGGCTATAGCTATCATAAAAATTTCATTGCAAATAGACAAATTCCTTCTTTATTGTAAATACAAACATACATGTATTTATGTATGTCCGAAAGCTAACTTATCTATTGATATCTACTAATTATTAATATTTCTCTACATATCTAACTAAATGCACATTTAAATAGTATATTTATAAATATTGAAGCAGGTGCTAAATTCGTACAACTGAACCAACAGTTAAAAAAATCATGACAAAAGTGACGAGGTGAAACATTCGCATAAAAGCTTTACAAATATACATGTACATATATACATACTTATGTACGTACTTATGTAAATAAATACCTACTGAGTAAAGACTAAAAGCAAACGATTTAAGGTTTTGTATTCTGTGGCCTTGAATAAAATATTCGCATGTGTTCGAAAACTCCAGTGTGTGAAAAATTTTCATGGCATGCAGTGATCTTTGCATATAGTACATATATTTCTGAATTAATTGTACATGATTGATTCCTCAAACCATATTTAATTGGAATTCCGAAACAATAACTCAGGAAATGCGATTAATTATTGAGAAACAGTATTTATAAATCAGGTTTTTTCCGTCGTTTTTTGGACGTGTCACTCTAAACATAAGAAACACATATTAAATGTTGATATTTTGTTATTATTACTTGCAACTTACCGCCTTCTGATATTTTAACCGTTGATCCTTAGATAATTTGCACCAAGCTCGGGCGCCCCTTTGTAAAGACTTTTTAGGGTTCGGCTCATTACTTCTCTTACGAAACTCGCGCAGAAAATTTAGAAACCCAGTGCTCATTGCAGGAGAAGCCTGCAAGTTTTTGCCTTTCCGGTGGCCAGTTAATGATCTGCTTTCCTTAATTGTTGGTCGTTTAGGCTTGCAATATGGATTGGGCCTTTTGACATTGCAAGCCGCCCTATTAGATCGGGTAGTTGGTCTTTTTTGTATTTTAGTACGGCAAAGCTTTTTTTCTTTATTTTTCTTCGCTTTTTTTGCCCTAATCGGCGAAGACACTGGCTTCGGTCGCCGAGCTTTTTTTTTTACCCACCGACATTTTTTTTCCTATTGTCAAATATCCCGAATTAAATTACTGAATGTCTATATTAGGTTTGCACTTACTGTAAATTGGGATTTCTGATCTGGAGTCAGTTTACCCCAAGCTTTGGCAGCACTTTGGTTAGCCTCTGCCGGATCTAGATGGGGGTGTCGCTTCTTATATCTTTTCATAAAATTCAAGTAGGCAACTTGCTCAGTAGCCGGTTCTGGTTCTTTACTTGTTCTGTTTCCCATGGTTTCTTACAATAATAAATAAACACTAAATTTTGGCTACTTGTTTTGTGCTGTGGTGGCTAAATATTGCTTTTTTTTTTTTGATAATTAAGTCTGTGCACATGTCTCATGGCATACTTTTACGTCAGCTACCTACAGATACCTACTCGTTTGATCATCAGAAAAAAAAGTAATATAGTATACTATATTTACTGTCGTTCCATAATAATTTATAAAAGCCGGTTTTAAAAATATGCGCATGTATTTGTTTATCGTATAAAAATGACACTCCCATACTTGTATACGTATATTATTTTTAATAGTATATCTTTGATGGGCAACGTCACTGTGTTTCGCTTAGTAATGGTTGCTCCAGGAAATAGGATTTGCTGAAGCGCTCTGCGTCCATTGGATGGGGTATCCGCTACTATACGGCCTCCAACCATACCGCCAATCAGGTCTTCCCCAACTTCCACGCGATACCCACCATGGATAGTGAGCTAAGCTGCTTTGAGATAGCACTTTTGCTCCAGAAACGACTTCATTATTATTAATGTTGGTGCCGAAATTACCCATATTATTTACGTTGTAGCGGTCTTCATTCGATGTCGAGCTTGAATCACTGCCTTTAGACAACGAACTTGCCTGCTTTGACAAATTACGGAGTCTGTGCGATCTTACGTTGGCATAATTACTACGTTCCGGGTATTTTACATAAGATGAGCTTGTCTTGGAGCTGATTCCACTGTTGCTATCATTGCCAGCTGAAGTACTAGATTGGTTTTTATTTCTCCTAGAAGAAACTTGTATATTTGAAGAGCTGACAAAATTAGGCTTAGTTTGATCCGCTTTAACTGTTTTAGAATTTCTCGACCAAGATTGATGCTTTTGTCTTGAAGATGACAGCCGCCTAATATTTCCCTCCTTAGCATTTATATCTGAGCTATAGTTTGGCACCACAATGCCATTCTTAATAGCAGTTGTGATTTTTTCCACTGAGCTCAGTTGATTGGACTTAGTATTCGTTTTGGGACCGCTCTCCGAAATTATTTTCTGAACTGCTGAACCGGATTGATCGCCACGGCTCGATTGATGGTTTGAGCTAGTTACGACTACAGACCTGGACAGATTATCAGAGTTTGACAATTGCGAGCGCAACTGATGGTCGACCGACGAGTAGCTGGATTCTTTAGGTTGAGCATATGAATTTATTTCGACAACTGAACTTGAGTGATCATCGCCAGGGTTTGACGAGTAGCTGGACTCTTCATTGGACGTAGGTTGAGCATCCGAATTTATTTCGTTACCCGAGCTTAACTGATTGACAGAGTTTGATGAGTAGCTGGACTCTTCACTCGAAGTCGGTTGAGCATCCGAACTTATTTCGACAACCGAACTTGACTGACCATTTCCAGAGTTTGAAGAGTAGTTGGCCTCTTCATTCGACGTAGGTTGAGCATCCGAATTTATTTGGACAACCGAACTGGACTCATCGTTTCCAGAGTTTGATGAGTAGCTGGCCTCTTCATTCGACGTAGGTTGAGTATCCGAATTTATTTGGACAACCGAACTGGACTCATCGTTTCCAGAGTTTGATGAGTAGCTGGCCTCTTCATTGGACGAAGGATTCTCATCCACACTGATTTCGTTACCCGAGCTTAACTGATTAACAGAGTTTGATGAGTAGCTGGACTCTTCACTCGAAGTCGGTTGAGCATCCGAACTTATTTCGACAACCGAACTTGACGGACCATTTCCAGAGTTTGAAGAGTAGTTGGCCTCTTCATTCGACGTAGGTTGAACATCCGAATTTATTTGGACAACCGAACTGGACTCATCGTTTCCAGAGTTTGATGAGTAGCTGCTATCTGCATTTGACGTAGGTTGAGGAACCGAATTTATTTCGACAACCGAACTTGACTGATCGTTTCCAGAGTTTGATGAGTAGCTGGCCTCTTCATTGGACGAAGGATTCTCATCCACACTGATTTCGTTACCCGAGCTTAACTGATTAACAGAGTTTGATGAGTAGATGCTCTCTGCATTCGAAGTAGGTTGAGCATCCGAATTTATTTGGACAACCGAACTGGACTCATCGTTTCCAGAGTTTGATGAGTAGCTGGCCTCTTCATTGGACGAAGGATTCTCATCCACACTGATTTCGTTACCCGAGCTTAACTGATTAACAGAGTTTGATGAGTAGCTGGACTCTTCACTCGAAGTCGGTTGAGCATCCGAACTTATTTCGACAACCGAACTTGACGGACCATTTCCAGAGTTTGAAGAGTAGTTGGCCTCTTCATTCGACGTAGGTTGAGCATCCGAATTTATTTGGACAACCGAACTGGACTCATTGTTTCCAGAGTTTGATGAGTAGCTGGCCTCTTCATTGGACGAAGGATTCTCATCCACACTGATTTCGTTACCCGAGCTTAACTGATTAACAGAGTTTGATGAGTAGCTGGACTCTTCACTCGAAGTCGGTTGAGCATCCGAACTTATTTCGACAACCGAACTTGACGGACCATTTCCAGAGTTTGAAGAGTAGTTGGCCTCTTCATTCGACGTAGGTTGAACATCCGAATTTATTTGGACAACCGAACTGGACTCATCGTTTCCAGAGTTTGATGAGTAGCTGGCCTCTTCATTCGACGTAGGTTGAGTATCCGAATTTATTTGGACAACCGAACTGGACTCATCGTTTCCAGAGTTTGATGAGTATCTGGCCTCTTCATTGGACGAAGGATTCTCATCCACACTGATTTCGTTACCCGAGCTTAACTGATTAACAGAGTTTGATGAGTAGCTGGACTCTTCACTCGAAGTCGGTTGAGCATCCGAACTTATTTCGACAACCGAACTTGACTGACCATTTCCAGAGTTTGAAGAGTAGTTGGCCTCTTCATTCGACGTAGGTTGAGCATCCGAATTTATTTGGACAACGGAACTGGACTCATCGTTTCCAGAGTTTGATGAGTAGCTGCTATCTGCATTTGACGTAGGTTGAGCAACCGAATTTATTTCGACAACCGAACTTGACTGATCGTTTCCAGAGTTTGATGAGTAGCTGGCCTCTTCATTGGACGAAGGATTCTCATCCACACTGATTTCGTTACCCGAGCTTAACTGATTAACAGAGTTTGATGAGTAGCTGGACTCTTCACTCGAAGTCGGTTGAGCATCCGAACTTATTTCGACAACCGAACTTGACTGACCATTTCCAGAGTTTGAAGAGTAGTTGGCCTCTTCATTCGACGTAGGTTGAGCATCCGAATTTATTTGGACAACCGAACTGGACTCATTGTTTCCAGAGTTTGATGAGTAGCTGGCCTCTTCATTGGACGAAGGATTCTCATCCACACTGATTTCGTTACCCGAGCTTAACTGATTAACAGAGTTTGATGAGTAGCTGGACTCTTCACTCGAAGTCGGTTGAGCATCCGAACTTATTTCGACAACCGAACTTGACGGACCATTTCCAGAGTTTGAAGAGTAGTTGGCCTCTTCATTCGACGTAGGTTGAACATCCGAATTTATTTGGACAACCGAACTGGACTCATCGTTTCCAGAGTTTGATGAGTAGCTGGCCTCTTCATTCGACGTAGGTTGAGTATCCGAATTTATTTGGACAACCGAACTGGACTCATCGTTTCCAGAGTTTGATGAGTAGCTGGCCTCTTCATTGGACGAAGGATTCTCATCCACACTGATTTCGTTACCCGAGCTTAACTGATTAACAGAGTTTGATGAGTAGCTGGACTCTTCACTCGAAGTCGGTTGAGCATCCGAACTTATTTCGACAACCGAACTTGACTGACCATTTCCAGAGTTTGAAGAGTAGTTGGCCTCTTCATTCGACGTAGGTTGAACATCCGAATTTATTTGGACAACCGAACTGGACTCATCGTTTCCAGAGTTTGATGAGTAGCTGGCCTCTTCATTCGACGTAGGTTGAGTATCCGAATTTATTTGGACAACCGAACTGGACTCATCGTTTCCAGAGTTTGATGAGTAGCTGGCCTCTTCATTGGACGAAGGATTCTCATCCACACTGATTTCGTTACCCGAGCTTAACTGATTAACAGAGTTTGATGAGTAGCTGGACTCTTCACTCGAAGTCGGTTGAGCATCCGAACTTATTTCGACAACCGAACTTGACTGACCATTTCCAGAGTTTGAAGAGTAGTTGGCCTCTTCATTCGACGTAGGTTGAGCATCCGAATTTATTTGGACAACGGAACTGGACTCATCGTTTCCAGAGTTTGATGAGTAGCTGCTATCTGCATTTGACGTAGGTTGAGCAACCGAATTTATTTCGACAACCGAACTTGACTGATCGTTTCCAGAGTTTGATGAGTAGCTGGCCTCTTCATTGGACGAAGGATTCTCATCCACACTGATTTCGTTACCCGAGCTTAACTGATTAACAGAGTTTGATGAGTAGCTGGACTCTTCACTCGAAGTCGGTTGAGCATCCGAACTTATTTCGACAACCGAACTTGACTGACCATTTCCAGAGTTTGAAGAGTAGTTGGCCTCTTCATTCGACGTAGGTTGAACATCCGAATTTATTTGGACAACCGAACTGGACTCATCGTTTCCAGAGTTTGATGAGTAGCTGGCCTCTTCATTCGACGTAGGTTGAGTATCCGAATTTATTTGGACAACCGAACTGGACTCATCGTTTCCAGAGTTTGATGAGTAGCTGGCCTCTTCATTGGACGAAGGATTCTCATCCACACTGATTTCGTTACCCGAGCTTAACTGATTAACAGAGTTTGATGAGTAGCTGGACTCTTCACTCGAAGTCGGTTGAGCATCCGAACTTATTTCGACAACCGAACTTGACTGACCATTTCCAGAGTTTGAAGAGTAGTTGGCCTCTTCATTCGACGTAGGTTGAGCATCCGAATTTATTTGGACAACCGAACTGGACTCATCGTTTCCAGAGTTTGATGAGTAGCTGCTATCTGCATTTGACGTAGGTTGAGGAACCGAATTTATTTCGACAACCGAACTTGACTGATCGTTTCCAGAGTTTGATGAGTAGCTGGCCTCTTCATTGGACGAAGGATTCTCATCCACACTGATTTCGTTACCCGAGCTTAACTGATTAACAGAGTTTAATGTGTAGCTGGCCTCTTCACTGGACGTAGGATTCTCATCCACATTGATTACATTGGACGTAGGTTCAGCATCCGAATTTATTTCGGCAACCGAACTGGACTCATCGTTTCCAGAGTTTGATGAGTAGCTGGACTCTTCACTGGACGTAGGATTCTCATCCACATTGGACGTTGGTTCAGCATCCGAATTTATTTCGGCAACCGAGCTGGACTCATCGTTTCCAGAGTTTGATGAGTAGCTGGCCTCTTCATTGGACGAAGGATTCTCATCCACACTGATTTCGTTACCCGAGCTTAACTGATTAACAGAGTTTGATGAGTAGATGCTCTCTGCATTCGACGTAGGTTGAGCATCCGAATTTATTTGGACAACCGAACTAGACTCATCGTTTCCAGAGTTTGATGAGTAGCTGGCCTCTTCATTGGACGAAGGATTCTCATCCACACTGATTTCGTTACCCGAGCTTAACTGATTAACAGAGTTTAATGTGTAGCTGGCCTCTTCACTGGACGTAGGATTCTCATCCACATTGATTTCATTGGACGTACGTTCAGCATCCGAATTTATTTCGGCAACCGAACTGGACTCATCGTTTCCAGAGTTTGATGAGTAGCTGGACTCTTCACTGGCCGTAGGATTCTCATCCACATTGATTTCATTGGACGTTGGTTGAGCATCCGAATTTATTTCGGCAGCCGAACTGGACTCATCGTTTCCAGAGATTGATGAGTAGCTGGACTCTTCACTGGACGTAGGATTCTCATCCACATTGATTTCATTGGACGTTGGTTCAGCATCCGAATTTATTTCGGCAACCGAACTGGACTCATCGTTTCCAGAGTTTGATGAGTAGCTGGACTCTTCACTGGACGTAGGATGAGAATCCACATTGATTTCATTGGACGTTGGTTCAGCATCCGAATTTATTTCGGCAACCGAACTGGACTCATCGTTTCCAGAGTTTGATGAGTAGCTGGACTCTTCACTAGACGTAGGATTCTCATCCACATTGATTTCATTGGACGTAGGTTCAGCATCCGAATTTATTTCGGCAACCGAACTGGACTCATCGTTTCCAGAGTTTGATGAGTAGCTGGACTCTTCACTGGACGTAGGATTCTCATCCACATTGATTTCATTGGACGAAGGTTGAGCATCCGAATTTAATTCGACAACCGAACTCGACTCATCGTTTCCAGAATTTGATGAGAAGCTAGCCTCTTCATTCGACGTAGGTTCAGCATCCGCATTTAATTCGACAACCGAACTGGACTCATCGTTTCCAGAGTTTGATGAGTAGCTGGACTCTTCACTGGACGTAGGATTCTCATCCACATTGATTTCATTGGACGTAGGTTCAGCATCCGAATTTATTTCGGCAACCGAACTGGACTCATCGTTTCCAGAGTTTGATGAGTAGCTGGACTCTTCACTGGACGTAGGATTCTCATCCACATTGATTTCATTGGACGTAGGTTCAGCATCCGAATTTATTTCGGCAACCGAACTGGACTCATCGTTTCCAGAGTTTGATGAGTAGCTGGACTCTTCACTGGACGTAGGATTCTCATCCACATTGATTTCATTGGACGAAGGTTGAGCATCCGAATTTAATTCGACAACCGAACTCGACTCATCGTTTCCAGAGTTTGATGAGAAGCTAGCCTCTTCATTCGACGTAGGTTCAGCATCCGCATTTAATACGACAACCGAACTGGACTCATCGTTTCCAGAGTTTGATGAGTAGCTGGACTCTTCACTGGACGTAGGATTCTCGTCCACATTGATTTCATTGGACGTAGGTTCAGCATCCGAATTTATTTCGGCAACCGAACTGGACTCATCGTTTCCAGAGTTTGATGAGTAGCTGGACTCTTCACTGGACGTAGGATTCTCATCCACATTGATTTCATTGGACGTAGGTTCAGCATCCGAATTTATTTCGGCAACCGAACTGGACTCATCGTTTCCAGAGTTTGATGAGTAGCTGGACTCTTCACTGGACGTAGGATTCTCATCCACATTGATTTCATTGGACGTAGGTTCAGCATCCGAATTTATTTCGGCAACCGAACTGGACTCATCGTTTCCAGAGTTTGATGAGTAGCTGCTCTCTGCACTCGACGTAGGTTCAGCATCCGAATTTATTTCGGCAACCGAACTGGACTCATCGTTTCCAGAGTTTGATGAGTAGCTGGACTCTTCACTGGACGTAGGATTCTCATCCACATTGATTTCATTGGACGAAGGTTGAGCATCCGAATTTAATTCGACAACCGAACTCGACTCATCGTTTCCAGAGTTTGATGAGAAGCTAGCCTCTTCATTCGACGTAGGTTCAGCATCCGCATTTAATTCGACAACCGAACTGGACTCATCGTTTCCAGAGTTTGATGAGTAGCTGGACTCTTCACTGGACGTAGGATTCTCATCCACATTGATTTCATTGGACGTAGGTTCAGCATCCGAATTTATTTCGGCAACCGAACTGGACTCATCGTTTCCAGAGTTTGATGAGTAGCTGGACTCTTCACTGGACGTAGGATTCTCATCCTCATTGATTTCATTCGATGTAAGCTCAGCATCCGAATTTATGTCGTCAACCGAACTGGACTCATCGTTTCCAGAGTTTGATGAGTAGCTGGCCTCTTCACTGGACGTAGGATTCTCATCTACATTGATTTCATTGGACGAAGGTTGAGCATCCGCATTTAATTCGACAACCGAACTCGACTCATCGTTTCCAGTGTTTGATGAGAAGCTAGCCTCTTCATTCGACGTAGATTCAGCATCCGCATTTAATTCGACAACCGAACTGGACTCATCGTTTCCAGAGTTTGATGAGTAGCTGGATTCTTCACTGGACGTAGGATCCTCATCCACATTGATTTCATTCGCCGTAGGTTGAGCATCCGCATTTAATTTGACAACCGAACTAGACTCATCGTTTCCAGAGTTTGATGAGTAGCTGGCCTCTTCGTTCGACGTAGGTTCAGCATCCGAATTTATTTCGTCAACCGAACTGGACTCATCGTTTCCAGAGTTTAATGAGAAGCTAGCCTCTTCACTGGACGTAGGATTCTCATCCACATTGATTTCATTCGATGCAGGTTCAGCATCCGAATTTATTTCGTCAACCGAACTGGACTCATCGTTTCCAGAGTTTGATGAGTAGCTGGCCTCTTCACTGGACGTAGGATTCTCATCCACATTGATTTCATTCGACGTAGGTTGAGCATCCGCATTTAATTCGACAACCGAACTCGACTCATCGTTTCCAGAATTTGATGAGAAGCTAGCCTCTTCATTCGACGTAGGTTCAGCATCCGCATTTAATTCGACAACCGAACTGGACTCATCGTTTCCAGAGTTTGATGAGTAGCTGGATTCTTCACTGGACGTAGGATTCTCATCCACATTGATTTCATTCGCCGTAGGTTGAGCATCCGCATTTAATTCGACAACCGAACTAGACTCATCGTTTCCAGAGTTTGATGAGAAGCTAGCCTCTTCACTGGACGTAGGATTCTCATCCACATTGATTGCATTCGATGTAGGTTCAGCATCGGAATTTATTTGGACAACCGAACTGGACTCATCGTTTCCAGAGTTTGATGAGTAGCTGGATTCTTCACTGGACGTAGGATTCTCATCCACATTGATTTCATTCGACGTAGGTTGAGCATCCGCATTTAATTCGACAACCGAACTAGACTCATCGTTTCCAGAGTTTGATGAGTAGCTGGCCTCTTCGTTCGACGTAGGTTCAGCATCCGTATTTATTTCGTCAACCGAACTGGACTCATCGTTTCCAGAGTTTGATGAGAAGCTAGCCTCTTCACTGGACGTAGGATTCTCATCCACATTGATTGCATTCGATGTAGGTTCAGCATCGGAATTTATTTGGACAACCGAACTGGACTCATCGTTTCCAGAGTTTGATGAGAAGCTAGCCTCTTCACTGGACGTAGGATTCTCATCCACATTGATTTCATTCGATGTAGGTTCAGCATCCGAATTTATTTGGACAACCGAACTGGACTCATCGTTTCCAGAGTTTGATGAGTAGCTGGATTCTTCACTGGACGTAGGATTCTCGTCCAAATTGATTTTATTCGCCGTAGGTTGAGCATCCGCATTTAATTCGACAACCGAACTAGACTCATCGTTTCCAGAATTTGATGAGTAGCTGGCCTCTTCATTCGATGCAGGTTCAGCATCGGAATTTATTTGGACAACCGAACTGGACTCATCGTTTCCAGAGTTTGATGAGTAGCTGGATTCTTCACTGGACGTAGGATTCTCATCCACATTGATTTCATTCGACGTAGGTTCAGCATCGGAATTTATTTGGACAACCGAACTGGACTCATCGTTTCCAGAGTTTGATGAGAAGCTAGCCTCTTCACTGGACGTTGGATTCTCATCCACATTGATTTCATTCGACGTAGGTTGAGCATCCGCATTTAATTCGACAACCGAACTGGATCGGCTATCCGAGTTAATTTTAGCTACCGAGCTTGATTTCAATGACGCTGACTGATTATGCACATTAATTTTAGATCCGTTGTGTGAGATTTTAGATGAGGTATGCGATTGTTTTTTTACATTGCGATAAGTTTTCTTCGATCTAGTTTTATTTCGTTTGTTTCGTATCGGTTTTAATTTGTTACGTTTTTTGTTTTTCACAATTAAATTGTTTCCATTTTCACCGTCAATATTTTGACGACTGAAGTCGTAAGATTGGATAGCATTATCCTCCGCACCATTAGATGAGTAAATTACTCTTTCAGATGGAACGATTTCATTTGTTATCTCTTTTTTTGAATTTGCACAGTTTACAGCGTTAAGATTTCCTAATAATTTACCCTCATCATTCATCAGTATTAACTTTCCAAATAGTCTATCCAGTAACCAAAGTCGAATATCTTTTCGAATTTCAATCAGAGTTTGTCTCACACTTTCACAACACGCACCAGCAGGATTAGGCTGCGTTTTTATGTCCTGCAAGCTCACTTCCGTTTGAGCGGCAACGATTGCCAGAGTGCCAAAAAAGGCAAAATAAATTAAACGCATAATGTGCCACCAACTTAGACCGCTATGTTCTGTTTTATCGAATGGAAAGATTGACGCTTTTATACCTTACCTCATACGCAAGTCTCGTCCGACTATTGTATTTTGAATATTTGCGTAGATGCTTTGTGAAGCTCGCAAATTTGACTTTTTATATCATAGGACTTGGTATTTGTTTTCTTCAAAAAAACAAAAGAAAGTACCAAGCTGAAAAAACGATACGTCAAAGTCAAGATCATAAATAGATACGATCCGCGAACGTGTGCAAAATATTTACTTAAAGTCTACATAAAACAATTGGTAAGTTTACTCTGACTTTACGTAAGACTCGAATTTAGCACAAGAGCTTCATTAGAGAATTTTCTGCAGCTACCAAATATTTATGTTATACGGTGGTCGTATGTGTCCCAACAGCTGCGAATTAAGTATTGAAAGAAGAATTCAAACAAACTTCTGCTAACGGGTTCATTGTAGATTGAAGATATTTGCCAAAAATGTAGTTCTTGCTTTGGATATATTTTTATATTTATTTATTATTTGCAAGCTTTCTACATATTTTAATTTTAATTAGAAATATTAAATCTGATTTAAGGAATCACACCGATGATAACGCATGTCCTTAGTATTCATCGTTTTCGAATGGATGGTGGGGGTGACCATAAACACTGTAAAAAAGTTCGGTTATATAAGTTTCAGAATAATGCTTAAATTTAAAAACATGGTAGTTTTAATTACTAAATAAATTACATTTATCGGTGGGTTAATGCAATATTAAAATAAAAATTTGAAAGCATTCACAAATACTAGGATTTCCAAAATTCAACAAGCGAAATGTCAAACAAGGTTTCTTTTGTTTACCACATGTGGTTTTCCGCATTTTGATTCTTGAGTTATTACACTTAATATACGTATTGCTTGGTCCCAACAACTGTTTTGAGTTTGTATTTATAAATAAGCTTTTTAACGATTTAGAACTCATCATGGAACGGATAATACTTATGACCGCCAGCCTCCCTATTTAAATAATGCAAAAATATACGTGACACAAATTATTCACATATACGAGTATATGTATGTATTTATGTATGTGTCCATTCAATGTAAAAGGTGTGTAAAAAAAGTTTTGCTCTTTTAGATTTTGAACAGCAGGTGCTCACGAGATTTGATCAATAAACATTAAAACGAATCATTTCATTTCTACTCTTAGCCGAGTAGATTAAAATGAAATCTTTAAGATTATTTTTAGTTTAGGCTTTCTCATGGTATATCGAAATATGTTCAGCCTACCTCTAAAATTATGCAAAAATATTTTAATATGTATAATTTTCAATTTGTCGTAAAATTGTGTTCTAGTACTCCAGCCTCAAATTGTAAATAGTCATTTATAAAAAAATGTATATGTGACCCGTTTTCTCAAATGATTAATAAAACGAAATGAGTGTATGTACGTTTGTATGTGTGTACATTTAATACATACTTGAGTAGAGGCACCAGACGTCCATTGCGCTCAAAACTCTCAATAGCTTTAACTTCATCGGGTGTCAACTCAAAATCAAAAACTTTGAAGTTCGATTCTATGCGTTCCTTAGTCACAGACTTTGGTATAACAATATTGTTGCGTTGAATTTGATAACGGATAAGGATTTGTCCCGGTGTTTTCTTCTTCTTATCTGCTATCTCTTTTATCTGAAAATATTTGGGTTTAGACTCACAGGATAGAGCACACTAAAAAGGATATTGATACCTTGGCTTCCTCAAGAATAACGGGGTCATCTTTTTTAGCCCATGGACGATTGGGAGAACCCAATGGGCTGTAGGCCGTAATGGCAATATCCTTCGATTTACAAAAATCAGCAAGCTTCTTTTGTGTCAAATATGGATGGCATTCAATTTGGTTAGTAGCTGGGGGAATCTTGGCTACCTCCAAAATACGTTCCACCTGCTTTTTGTTGAAGTTGGAAATACCAATAGACTTAACAAGTCCAGCCTCCACTAATTTTTCCATTTCGCGCCAAGTCTCAACGTAATCTACTGGGGAAAATAGTGTCTTGCCATCTTTATCGGCGGGAAACAAGTCACACCCCTCTTTGTAAGCCATAGGCCAGTGAATCAAGTATAGATCGAGATACTTCAGCTTCAGGGCATCTAGCGTATTTTCACAAGCAGTCTTTACCAAGTCCGGACGGTGGAAAGTATTCCACAACTTGCTTGTAATAAAAAGATCCTCGCTGCGAAAAATATCTATTTCTGTGAAATATGAAAATAAGTTGCTTGAATCGCTATTTACCGCTTGACAATTCCTTCCTTGATTTTGGCCTCGATGCCCTGACCGACCTCATCCTCATTTTGATAGACATGTGCACAGTCAATGTGGCGATATCCAGCATCAATGGCGATTTTCACAGCTTCGACGACTTGACCTTTAGGGCTCTAGAAAAAACAAAAAAATTCAGTCATCTTTGGTGTGATGAGGCCACGATTTTCGAAAATTGCCGATAATTGATTCGCGTATCTGTGCAAAGTATTTAGAGAATATATATACACTTATAAAAAGCAGCCACGCCCATATTTGTGCGTAGCGTTAGAACCCATTACACGAAAAATAAAATATAAAAATAAGATTTTACATTAGAATAAAGTATTCGGTTGCGAATTTCAAAGATTGTTGCATTAATCTGCCTTGAAAATACAACCTACTTTCAATTTCAAAGAGTATTATAGTTTTTCTAAACTGAAATCCATTACACGTAATAAATCAACGAGTCTATATCGGACATTAAATAGTGATCGTGGGTCAAACTAAGGGCAAAAGGCTCTAATTTAACAATCTCAAATGATGACTTAACATTATTTTAAAATTGAGATTATAATATTAATTGCCTTTCTTGTGTATCAATGTGATCTACATTAAATTTATGAATATGCCTTTTTATACATACATACATAAGTAGTCACAAATAATTAGTAAACTATTTATATATTTACTTTACATACATACACATGTAAGCGAATTTTTCACATTTCTGTATAAGTCCCACTTGTATATAATACTTTTTAGAACTCAGATAAGATTTAACAATTTCACTTCGGTACATATCTTAGTACATACTTATACATATGTACGTACTCACATTGTTGATTGATACCATGAAGTGTTGAAAATTTTCCACTCCAATTTCACAACCATTAAAAGGGTCACCTTGAAACATATAGAAGATCCAGAGAATATACATTCGCATTCTCTGGTTCTAGTAAGGCAACATTCAAATAACCCACATACCCATGTAGTCATAATTACTTTAGACTTTTTTATTATATTCTTTTTAAACAAATAAATCATTAAGAGTCCAGAAGAAGAATAGAACCTATTAAAACGTGGGCCTATTTATACATACAAATATAAATATGTATGTATACATATAAACATACATAGGTAGGTGTAAATATGAGCATGTTTAGAAACTTATGTATGTGAATATATCAATTATTTTCTGTATTGTAAATATGTACATATGAACGAGTATGTTTTGCGATTAGGCTCCGTTCAGCGAAAACACAAAGCCGGTAAATTTGACGCGCCGGCTAAATACCAGCGGTCTGTGTTCTAAACAAGTTGTTGCTGTTCGGGTGGCATAGAAGTCGTGGGCAGCGGAAATTTTATTGGAATGTGTGTAGTATGTATGTACATACATATGTATTTGTAGGTGCGGATGTGAAATCACAACTCTGTCTATTGTGAAATTGCGTTCTGCAATTGCATATTTTCTTTCTATGATGTAAATGCATGTGTAAGTACTTACACCCCAGGTTCCAAGACCAATAATGGGCATTTCATGGCCGCTGTTAAGCTTCACAGATGGGACATTTGGGGCCATTTTTCTCAATTTCTGTTCTTGATTACTTCACAAGAATTACAAATATTAAACAATAATTTATTAGTTTTTGCAAGAACACTGCGCGATAGAACACTATTACAAAAACTGAGCGATTTCCCACAGCTGTTACTTGCTTTTATACGTATGTCATTAAAAAAGCTTCGCGAAGCGCTGCTGTAGAGCTTTTATATGAACTGTGCCGAATAAACAGCTGTGCGATCAATGGGCGGTTGGTTTTGAAAATTACCTTGCATATTGAGGTTTGAAAATAAAACCCTTTTCAATACGTTGTAGTTGTAGACACTCGATAAGAGAAATTCGTATGCTCTTTAATGCACGGTAAACACATAACTGTATCTTAACGGCACGAGTATAAGGGAATTGTTTCATAACGTAAATGTCTATTTGACTAAAACTTTTGCCTAAAATATAGCTTTCAACTGACTACTTACTATTACAAATTAAGATTTTTCAAAGTATGTACATACGTCAATAATCGACGGGTTTTACTTACCAACCAAGTGCCCAGGCCAATCAAAGGCATTTCTTTACCATCTGCCAGAATAGCTTTTGGGGGAGAAGCAAGCTCTTTTTGGCACCTACAATTATGTAGTGGTGTACATTTTGAGCTCTGTTTTGGTTCCTAATTACTTACCACATATAACGTTCCGTTTTGCAGCACGTACGTATTGCCATTTTAAGAGTGGAGCGGATAACTCCACGAACAGAAGGTGATTGAATTAAAGGATTCATTGTGATCAGTCTGTAGCTCAATATAATATGAAATCATTTCTCAACTGTTTTTGGATGAAGTCGTAAAACTCTAATGTTGCTTTGTTTTTGAAAAGAATTTTACAGTTTTAGGCCCATACAGTTTTTATATGAAGAAAAGCATTATGAAAATATAGAAAAATATAAAAAAGAACATTTTTGTTTCTTAATACCCTTGTTCTTCTTAAACAAAGAAAGCTTTTGAAAAGTTTAGCTTAGATAACTGAATTAACACTAAAATTGATTATTTTAGTTAATGGATGTACAAAACCAAGTCCCCTTTGGTGCTGAAAAGCAACATTACTATCAGCAATCTGTTGTTATTCTGGTACCAATTTACAATAAGTTCGTATTATATCAATGCTAATACTCATCCATCGTTGTTTGGTAATTACATTTATTACCAAAATAAAAATGTATTATTAAACACATTTCACAGAGCGATTTGAATTCTTGCCGTAAAGCCTTCTTTTATGTTTCTATAGTATGTATACATTTTCCGAGCTAATTAATCAATTGAGAATAGTAAACAGAGTATTTGTTACCTAAACTATTAACATTTATTGTAAAATACATGCACCTATTGATATTACCAAGTGTCCAAAAACAAAAATATGTACAACTTTATGCATTTCTAAAATGTTCAAAATAGGTGAGCTTATTTCTATGAGTGTGGAGATGTGCTTTCAAATGGATGGTATGGATGTCCATATGCCCTGCAATAAAAATAGATTAATTTACTCGAGCTACCAGTTTTAGATGTACTTACGCTTTCATAGTCATGAAACGACCATTGCAGTCCAAATCATCAATGGCTTTTAAGTCATCAATTGCTAGCCCAAAGTCCCAAATGTTAAAATTTTCGTACATGTGCTGCTTGGTTATGGAGCGGGGAATCACAATTATGCCCGACTGTGTCTGATAGCGCAATAAAATCTGAGCTGGTTCGCGCTCATACTTGGCGGCGATTTCTTGAATTACAGGGTGCTCCAAAAGCGGGTAGGCACCGGGCTTCTCGTAGGGAGTGTGAGCAGACCCTAGGGAGCTGTAGGCCGTCACAGCAATTGCATTGTCATAGCAGAGTGTGATAAGGGATTTTTGGCGCAGATAGGGATGACATTCGATCTGAAGAACGACCGGCTTAAGTTTGGCTTCACTTAAAAGGCGATTAATTTGATGTTCGTTAAAGTTTGAAACGCCGATTGCATGGCAAAGACCGCTGTCCACAAGATTCTCCATAGCACGCCATGTGTCGAGAAAGTCAATAGAATCAAACACAGCCTTTCCGGTATCCGGACAGGTTGGATACAGATTATCTCCAGATTTATATGCCATCGGCCAATGCATAAGATACAGATCAAGATAATCAACACCAAGATTGCGCATGCTAGTCTCACAAGCAGGGCGCACCATTTCAGGTTTGTGGTAAGTGTTCCATAGTTTGCTCGTTATAAACAGTTTGTCACTAGTACAGGAAAGTTATCAGCCAAAACTAAATGGGCAGATGATGTACTTACCGTGTTACTGCACCCTCTTTAATTTTCTCAGCAATCGCAGAGCCAACTTGCGCCTCATTTCCATAGATATGGGCGCAATCAAAATGGCGATATCCTATATCAATGGCATCCTTGACAGCCTGAGTTATAGCTTGTGGCGGGCTCTGCAAAAAAAAAGGAATGCACTTCCGTTTAGCTGTGCCTAGAACGCCTAAAAAGCTTTCAAAGCTCAAAAGGCAACGCTTTCTTAGCGACAATATTATGCCAGCATTGCCGACATTGACCACGAAAACTATTTCTATACCCCTACATACACGTACATGCATCTATACTTGTTCAAATTTGTAGTTTCAGTGAACCAAAAATTCTGTTTATCATATTGGACTCTAATTAGGAGTTTTAATAACTCACCCGCCATGTACCCAATCCAACCATGGGCATATTTTTGCCATTGCTCAACAAAAAATTTGGTGTCGACATATCTGTGTGAGTCTCCTACAAACTTTTAAAAGAATTCCTTTGCGAGCTTTAGCTTGCCCAACAAAAATTGGCAATAATACTGAAAGAATATAGTAGAGCTTCAGTTTTTTTTTTTAATTTCAGTTTACTATATACCAAAAAAAAAAAAAAATTAATTTAACAAGTTTAAAAATTTTGTTATGAAATGAATTTTGTAGTGACAGCTTTTGTTATTTTTATTTAGTTATATTTAGAAAATTTGATGCCTTGAACCAACATTTGCTAGGCCGGAATAGTTTTAGCTACAACACTGCTCCTCTGCTATTGCGTTACATATTTGACAAATCTTCCATAGCTTTTACGATCGAAATCATAAACTAAACTACAAGCTACCATCCGTCCGTTGGTTATACCGACACAAATATATACAAACGAATTGAATGAACTGAATTCATCGATGACTGCTATTATCGATATCGATATAAATTCCATGTAGGAATAAATTATCAATTATCCCGGACTTTAAAGCAATTCTATTTATCATCAGTGAATTGCAACTAAAACTATTATCTGCAATATTAACACTCCGAATATAGCTGGATTTGTAAATTTCGGAACAACGTTGTCGTACCGTTGTACAAAGTAACCTGAAAATGTTTGGCACAGTAAACAATTACCTTTCCAGCATATCGCGTGCAGCTGAAGCGTGTGATGGAGACACATTGGGCAAGTTTCTTTCCCTCCGCGATGTGCACGTTCAGAATCACAATTTGTATATTGCACAGCCCGAGAAACTGCGGAATTCGCTAAAGCCGCCTCTGGATGAAATTGTTACCGCACATCTCAAAGTGCTATACTACCTGGCACAGAAGCCGCCGAATTATATGGAAGCCTACAACCAGCAGGCAACTAGCTGCTCGTCTGTAGTCAAACTGCTGCAGCAGTTGAAGGACGAGAACTGGCCACTACCGCTCATGTACCGGGTGTGCCTAGATCTACGCTACTTGGCGCAAGCGTGCGAGAAGCACTGTCGCGGTTTTACGCCGGGCAACATTCTGGAGAAGGCCGCGGACTGCATGATGGGGTGTTTTCGAGTGTGTGCTGCAGATGGCCGTGCAGCGGAACAGGACACGAAACGCTTGGGTATGATGAACTTGGTTAATCAGCTATTTAAAGTGTACTTTCGCATAAACAAGCTACACCTTTGCAAGCCGCTCATTCGTGCCATTGAGAATAGTTCGTTTAAGGAAAGCTTTCCGCTACCCGAACAAATCACATATAAATACTTTGTGGGCAGACGCGCCATGTTCGACTCAAACTATAGCATGGCCGTAGAAGATCTCTCATACGCATTTGCTCATTGCCCTGAGCGTTTTACCAGTAACAAGCGACTGATTCTAATATACTTGGTACCGGTTAAGATGCTTCTTGGCTACCTGCCACGCAAATCACTACTGGAGCGTTACGATCTGCTGCTCTTCCATGATCTGGCACTTGCTCTAAAGGCTGGCAATGTAAACAAGTTCGATGAAATTGTGCACCACCACGAAATCGTGCTCATACGCAGCGGCATATATTTGCTGGTAGAGAAGCTAAAATTCATCGTCTACCGCAATCTATTTAAGAAAGTGTTTGCTATCAGACAAACGCATCAGCTGGATATGGGCGATTTCATGTCGGCGTTGCAGTTTGTGGGTGTAACGGACGCTTCTTTGGATGAGACGCATTGCATTATTGCCAACTTAATTTATGAGGGAAAAATCAAGGGGTACATATCTCATGCACACAACAAATTGGTTGTGTCCAAGCAAAATCCATTTCCTCCACTAATAGCGACATAATGTTTTACAACTTCATGAGTTGTAATGTAATGTTTTAAACACAAATACATCTAAGAACAATTGCTACAACATTTTTCAATATCTATTTATTTTTTTTTTTTAAATTTATGCACTACGCAGTCAAATGAATCTGAAAAACAAGATAAAAAACAGTGGCAACATCAGGCATTGTTAAACCCCAGGATATGGCAACATCACAAGCTAGAGGAAACATTTGTTTTTATATTTTTGTAGTGGTTCTGACAGAAAGAAACCTTTTATTTAAATGTCTTTCATTATTAGCAGCTGAAATCAGTTGAAATTTGGTTCAACATATGTGAACAACTTTTCCGAGAATAATTTTCGATTAAACGGTTGCTCACATCAGTCACTCGTTTAGGTGAACAAAATTTAAAAAAAAAATCGAATAATGGATACTAATTCCTCCCGGATTTCATCGAACTTCGTTGAACTACAAAGTGACCGAGCTCCGCAACATTTGGAAACCAATGGATCCAGTAGGTTCCCTCGACGCCGGAGCCGTGTTGTTGAGCCGCTTTTGGGGCAGCCTGGCGGACGAGATGACCCCAACAGAAAAGGATTAAATGGTTCGTGCACGAAATGGTACATACGCTATCTAAAGCAAGGGTTCGCACCAGCCATAGCCCGAATGAAAGCGCTGGAGCATCGTCAAGGTGCCAACGATATTAATAAGGGAACTTTAGGGACTGCTCGAAAGCGATCGAAAAGTCCGTTGGAGATCTCTCCTAAAAAGGCACGTTCTTGCGAACCCAAGAGATCGGTCGAAAATAGGGTACCGAATCCAGAAAAAAATGTAAAAGTAGTAGTTATCCCAGTTGGGTACCCAAAAGAAGTTCTCGCACCCGAAGATCTCCCGAATTTGGAAGAGGCCATTTTGATGCAGATCGCTAAAGGTTCGGACGTCGCATTGCGCCTTGACGGCATTAAATTTCAGTCAGGATACTTGGTTGTAGATTGTCATGGAGAGATGCCAGCTAATTGGCTGATGAGAGAGATTCCGAAGCTATCTACTTGGAAAGGAAAACCTATAGAAGGGCAACTTGGCGATGAGTTTCCCTCAATGCACAACATTTCCTTGTACTTGCCAAATAGTGCTAATAAGTCTGAGGAATTTCTCCTCAGCTTGATTCGCAACCAAAATATGTTGTGCACAGACACTTGGAAGGTATTGTCACAAAGAAATGAAGGAAACGACTGTCACTTAACCATTTGCGTCAATAACCGGACTATGAAGCAGATAGCCGCCAAAGAAAACAAGCTGTGGTTTCGCTTCGGCGCCATTCCAGTAATTGAGGAGGAAGTTCAAGACGACCCAATCCTACCTGAAACTGAAACTGATGCGCCCATTCAAAATAATGAATTTGATAAGGACGAAGAACCCAGCGTCATTTTGATAAACAGTAACACTGTCATTGATTTATCAGATTAATCACCAACATTGTATGTCATAATTCACGTATTTCATTAATGGCCTTTACTAACATATCTACATATCTTTAGATATTCAAACGCATACTGTAAACAGTATATTCAAGAGCTCCTGGATTTTTAGAGGACAGCGAGCTAAGGCACTTTCTCCTTCCCATGTTTCGATGGTGTGATACGTGGCCTTATACATACCCTACAACACATCTTTTGTGGAACTTTAACCACCGATTGTACGATATTGTAATATAAATTACTACTGAAGTCGTACAACTTTGAGTTAAGCTCCTTTATAGAAAAATATATATTTATGTCCTTCGGAAAATCTTTATGACATTAGTTCAATAATGTGATTCAACAAGTACAAAACAAGATTGGAATCTTAGAGTTGTAAGCAATTCACCTTGTACACCAGCATTTTTTTACACTTTACTCAAAATATGGAAGGGTATTATGGAATCGTTTAGTAAAACCTGTAAAAATTCAAATTTATTTCAGAAAAATTACGTTCTTGTTAAAGTTCTTTTCACATTTTGTCGGTATTATATGTATATCTACATAAAAATATACGGACTCGAACCAAGTCTACTAAAACCAGAACGAAATACATAGGTTAAGGAGGAATCGTTGTCCCATATCTCTATATTTGCCGACTGGACGCACAATCTTTTCGGACGATGTACAAAATAATAAATTCACATGAACATAGTTATGTAGCCTGTGGATTACAAAAACAACTTTCCTTATTTATTCATTTATTAAGATATGACGGCAAAATTCCAAATACACAATCTGGGGTATAATATTTATATACCCTTATCTGTCCTCGGCTTAAACGCGAAAAATTTAAAACTGTCGGAAGAGTACCGATTGAAACAGACAGCGGAGAATTGCGATTTGGAAGCGTCTCTTCATGCTAATCATAAAAGTACTTATAACATGCGGTCTATCTTCTTTGTTTTTGATAGGTACTACAAACATACACATAAAAATGAATATAAATACATAAAAATTTTCATAGTGTCAGCGTCATCGCTTTTCAAAATATGAAAATTAATTGGCACGCTCCCATCCCCACTGCGATGAAAGATTTTCGATGAGCCGTGGTCTGCCACTTATCTATCGGTGACCAGTCATGCCAACCTTTTTTTTGTGCAACGTACATATGTAAAGCTAGTACAAAAAAATCAAAGACGTTTGCTATCTGGACGTTGGCTTGTTGTTCGAGTAAGCTTTTCTTTACTTATTAATGGCTTAAATTGTAATTAAAATATGTTGAAACACAAATGTTGAAAAAAAAATAGTGGAGAGAAAACATTAAAAATTGCAGACTGCCACCAATCTCAGGCCGGCGACGTTAAATTTGCAGAGTCGTGTTGTTGTTTTTGCAAAATCAATACATATTACTAATGCTGTTTAGCGTTTAAAGTGACATAACAACAACTGATACGCATTTGCGCAGCTTGCATTAAGGGACTAAGTGCAGCAGAAGCGCTACACAAGAATAATCAGCATTAATTTACAGATCACATCTTTGCTCAGCACGCGGTAGCATCTATTTGTACCTGTACCTGAAAGCACACTCGCTGCTTTACTTACGCCAACAAGAACAAGACATACGTCAAGCCAGGAAGAGATTCCATCTGCCTTCAATAATAACGTTAGTGCATGATATACCTCTGCATAGAAAAAGATTTGGATAAGTAGGAAGTCCGAAGAGGCTATCGGCGTTCCACACCATGTCGGCACCGGTTATTATCGAGGCTACGGCCAAGCACACCGCTACTGTAAGTAAAACAATGCAACTGAAAAACTTTACAATTGTTCTTTTGGTACTTATGTATGTACATATATTGAATTTACTTTGCAGTTGATATTCATGCACGGCCTGGGTGACACAGGGTAAAATACATATTTAATATGTAGTTGGTTATCTATTTAGCACTGCGTTTTTTATTTTTTTGTAGGCACGGCTGGAGCAGTGCATTGGCTGCCATACGTCCCCCTTTCATGAAAATCATCTGTCCCACAGCACCTACACAGCCTGTTTCCTTAAACGCGGGTTTTCGTATGCCCTCTTGGTTTGACTTGAAGACGCTGGACATTTCGGGTCCCGAGGATGAACCAGGAATACGAGCGGCGCGCGACAACATACACGGCATGATACAAAAAGAAGTGGGCGCTGGCATACCGGCTAATCGAATTGTGCTTGGTGGCTTTTCGCAAGGCGGTGCTCTGGCGCTGTATTCTGCCCTTACCTTTGATCAACCGTTGGCTGGCGTGGTAGCGCTCTCGTGCTGGTTACCATTGCACAAGCAATTCCCGGGTGCCAAGATCAATAGCGATGATGTGCCCATTTTCCAAGCTCACGGCGATTATGACCCTGTGGTGCCATACAAGTTCGGTCAGCTGAGCGCAAGTCTACTAAAATCGTTCATGAAGAATGTCACATTCAAGACCTATAATGGACTATCGCACTCGTCATCTGATGATGAAATGGACGATGTTAAGGTGAGTGCGCTGCAGCGCTATTCTTTTTGAATATAATTGACAATTTCAACTCTAAAGAACTTTCTCACATTGTGTTTGCTCTTTTCCATTTCAGGACATAATCAGTAAATGGGTAAATTAATTTGCATAACACTTTAATTAAAAGCTCGCGTGCGCACCCCGTACATTCCTTTCGAACTTATCTGTAAGATGGTCGAAAAATCGAATTAAGGTGCAACATGCGAGACAATACACGCAAATCAAGAAACTAATGACGATTAATTCAAGCATTGAAACGCAGTAAGGCACATAGAAAACTTTTGAAATCGTACAATAATAATGCAGTAAACAACGTAACCTATTTAAAAACTCAAAAACCATATTCAAACTCAAAAGCAATAAATTTTATGAGATTCTGTGAAATTATTTGTGTTAAATCAAGCTCTTTCTGCAAAATTCCCTTTGGTATTTGTCAGCAGTTACTTTATATTTTATTTAAAATTTGAATTTTATTGAATCACAATAATTACATAAATACTTACCAATAAAGTTGTATGTACGTATAATCCACCAAAAAAGCACTTCTAATCGGTTTGCATTGGTCCGCTGCAGTACAATTCAAGGTGGGGAAAAAGGATATTTTTGTAATATGTACATACATACATATATGTGTGTATATATTGTGTGAAAATTAATTGAATCACGTTTGGTTAAAAGATGTGCAATGGAGATGCCCTTAACATTATGAAGGGATGCTTTTTTAAATTGATAACCTCTAAAAGGGTGACTTTAAATAGTGTTTTAGTTCATGTTTATTATTCACTACATTACTCTTTTGCAATTATTATTTTTAATATCAATTTTTTCTACTCTATTTTATACAGCAACAGTCTAATCATCTGTAGAACCGCTGCTAAATCTGAAATTAATATTATTTTGCACAAATATTTTTATGTTGACAAATAAATCGATCATTATTTTTCTTCTCTCCTAAGCCGTTTATCAGTAATCTTTGCAAAAATAAATTTCCTGCACTGCAATCGTTATTCACTTACATAAATACATATGTAAATGCACTCAACAATTGCACCGCATTTAATAACTTCTTTTCTTGAGTAATCGTACCTACATACAAATGTATGTTTATATGCATACATACATCTTATAATTCTCGTCTTTACTAGATCTCTACATCACTCACCGCCTCTCATCTATACTTATATTTACAGACGCATTGGGAGAGTCAGAACATGGCTAGAAAGGCGCAATGCTGTCAGATATCATAGTAGCTATGAAGTGTAGTACCAGTTCCTTCCACAAATCAAACTCCTCATCCTAGTCAAGAAACAAAAACGCCAGAAAGCGAAAATCCAAAATCGCAAAGAAGTTGGCACTCAAGAGATTTGTATTGTAGAGACTACTTTGTACATATGTATGTAGATTTAGGATTACTATTTAGTTACTTATGTCCTCACGTGGTGAAGTGACATGCTAATGAAGCACCATCGTTGAACTAAATTTTAAATAAAGTACTGCGACGGAATTAATACGGTCTCAATGCTGAAGTTGACGTGACGATTCCTGCTTATCTTAACAAAAGGATGTTGGAAGACCAGTAGCTTGATTACAGTTTGTCCGAAGGTTAACGAGTTGTGCGTATCAGTCACAGATATACATTTACATTTGGGTTTATATTTGGCTTATCAATTGTTAGCACAATTTTTGCTGCGTGAAAAGTGAGTTCGTATGATAGTGCTGGTAAGTAATTAATGGTATGATTCGCGCGCAATCTTGCAAGTTGTATCAAGCCAGCTGCTTGCCACAGCTGATTGTCATTCGTTTTTCAACACCGCAAAGCAGGGTAGCTCTGCACGCGCAGGCTGTATGAAACTCTTGGAACGCCATTCAAGAAGAGAATTAACAACAATTTCTTAAAATTTGACTGAATTGAAATTAAAATAGAGCACGAAACACTCTTCCTTAATATTGTACATATATTAACAAGCCAATTAATGTACGATGAGTATCTCAAATGAATTGAATCAACAGGCGTGTTTAGAGCCGAGTGGAAAGGACAAAAGCAGTCAGACTCATTATCTCTAAATTGTTGCTCAGTTCCCTCAGTCCAGCCCAATGCATGCCAAGTTTAAATGCTGCTACTGCGATACCGACTCTACTCAGTTGTTTCCGAATCGTCGCCAAGCTTGGACGTTTTCGTTCGTTTGCTAGTTTTCCGTTTTATGAAAATTCATACGTATGTATATGATGTTCGCCGCTTGTAGTCAAAGGAAACTTCGCATTTTCTTGCAGTAACAATAACAAAGACGCAAAAACGAAATTCGCGCAAATTGTGAGTGAATCCAAAATTCAACTTTAATCAAACTCCAAAACAATTCTTTGTGTTTTTCTGCAATAAGTCCTCTGAAGTGTGTTGATCTACCTTATTGGTTTCTTTGTGTTCATATATAAATGTGCTGTTTTAAATTGCATATGTACATACATGTACATAAACTTATGAAATGCATATATTTGTACGTATATACATAGTTACATACATATGAATGTATGTATGTGCTGTTGCTTACCAACATTTCTATCCAAAGTGGAGAAAAGATAAACAGAAAGACAAGAAGTGCGTATGTAAGAGTTGTGAGCTGGTGGGCAAAGCTAATTTGCAATCTGTCCCTTTTGTACTGCATTTAGTGGTGTACAAGTATGTAGAAGTGTACATAAGTACATTCCTATTTATACGTTTTCTATTTAAATACAGACATTCATTGTGTTCCTTTTGTTTTATTTGCGTCTGCCAAATCATGGGTTCAGCTAAACATACATTAATAAATGTTGGAATTTATTTTAATCAAATTAAAAGAAAATTCGTTTTAATTGTGCGTGAGTGTTTTGTTTTCATAAATTGCATAAAAACTGTATTGAAAGATTATGAAAAGGACTCGCTAAATTGTTTATACATACATATGTAGAACGCATTACCTTAATTGCGTTTCCAACTAGTGCTAAATCCAACTACCACGCAGCGATTCAAACATAATTAACTGCCGTAAAAATGATTAGCAAGCAACCGATGAATCCGATGGGATCGGTCGTAAACATAAACCATTCTCTGTCCATAAACAAATGGCACCAGCTTTGTCATAAACTTTTCGCTAATAGCCGAGCATTTTTATTAGTTTCCCTATTTGTGTTTGTATGTACTTATATAGTACATACATGTCTATGTATGTGTGGATATTAATTAGTGTTTTTTTTTACCAAAGTGACAAATGTACTATTATTAACTTTGTACACAAACAGTGATTAGCGCCAAAGCTCAAGTATAGGTGTATCTATTATACATTTCTAGGATACCAAAAGAAGTGTGGTTATTGATTTAAATACATACATACATATGTATAAATTGACCTCGCAAGGTGCAACAAGTACAAACCTACTTTGATAAATACAGATGTTCAATACAACCACATGCATTAATACATATGTACATGGGGCAATTAACAACTCAGTAATAGTTATATTGAGAGTAGGTCTTTGTTGCCTGAAGTACTCTTACCATCTCATTTCATATACATACATACATACATTGTTGGTTTGCGAGTTGGACGAGCGGTTCTACGACTGATTGGAACGTGATGGATGCGAATTCATTGTTGCTGAGCACAATACAGAATATTGCTTTGTTCCCAGCTAGTCATTAAAAGGCCATTAGGCATTTGTTTCGTACGGCATTAGACTAGATTTATTCATTCCTGTTCATACATACGTACATGTATGTTACCATTAAATCCAATTATCAAATTCAACGATCGTCTCTTTTCTGCCTTGTTATACCCCAGCAGAACTATCTGTAATATCCTTAGACTTTATTGCTGCCTGCGCTTCAAATTAATTAACCCAATCATCATTACATCAATTGCTCCAGCAGCTGGTTAGTCTTTTAAACGATTAACACCTCGACAATTTCAAAATCGGATGTGTATTTAATTGGATAATATATCTCGTGCATATTTGAATAACTTAGCTACTGAGCTAGTTATTTCATAAATAAATCAAGTTTACGTTCAATTAATATGAGTTGAGAGGCAACAAATGAATGATTTAACTAATCGTCGAATAAGTATCGCAAATGACAAATTGTAATTGGTTTTATATAGTTTATTGAATTGTGTAATTGAAGTGATCTGTACGATTTTCTACTGACCAATAAAAACTAGTTGTTTTGGCGGTGCTGCTACCTTAAAGGATATAATTCCATTTCAAGTTTAGACACAACCACTCTGTAAAGTACAACAAATATTTGTTTTTCAATGTATTGTGCAATATTTTAGAATAGTTAGAATGCAAAATAGAAATTGTATGCACTCGATAATAATACTTCAAGTTAAATATTCACTATTTTTACATGGCAGCATAATCGGAAATAAAAACTTCCAGCTTCGCCAATTCCACGACTCAATATCATAACAATATAAGTATACATACATACATATGTATGTAACTAACTCATGCGAAATGCGGCCCGTTCGCATGATTATGCTAAATAAGTCAGGTCAAAAGTCCAGCTGCCGTTAAGTGATTGACCGATCACGACGTCATAGCTATCCACTCTCAAACAAATATCTCACTATTAAATACCAGACATGCCGCCGCATGTCCGGCAGTTGATTTATTTGCGAATTTGAATTAACTTGAAATTATATAAACAGTAACTTCCTCACTGATAATATGCAGGGAATATATACTATATTATTTAAACGTAATGCACAACATTCTTTGCGGGTTTATTTTGAAAATTCTCGGCTTACTGTCGCGACATTGTCCAAATAAAATGCTGAATCATCAGTGCTGGAGTGGTCGAAAACAAGTTTGGAATATCTGTGTGAACGCTTTTAAACCAAACGCATACTGTCGGGCTACGTTTGAGACTGAGAGTTGGACTGAAACGACGCCAAAAACATTAAATAGGCAAATAAATGGAAATAATACAAAATCGAAATTAAAGTTTTGCGATTCGATTTTTGTCAATTCTAGTGCGCTACCTTTAGTCAATAGTTGGGTATATAGGAGGTTAAAAACAACTTGGTCACAGATTGATTTGATAATAAGATTTCAGTATATTTCAAATACTTTGTACTTGTATATATGTAGAAGAGCATTTTTTTGGATTTTGTACTATATGCCTTTTTCAATTCCAATTATTTATACGCCATGTTTTAACGTTTATGAGTCATATTAATATTGAAAAATGATGGATTTAAAAATGTAATTGACAAATATGAGCATATTTTTGATACATTATTCAATTTATTATTTTGTAGATCAAGTTTAAACATTTTTTTTGCCGTTGTGCCATGAGAAAGTTTCTGATTTTATGCGTAAATTTTTTATATATTTCTCTTCTTGATTTCCCAAAATCTTTCATTTAAAAATATAATGGTGTTTTAAAATTACTTTTAATAAGGCGTTTTGAAGTACAACTTGCTTTAGAAAAAAGGCTTTTATTTGTTTTAAAGTCAATAATTAACTGCTTCCATAAGAATATAATAATATTAATTATCAAATGCTTTTCAGAAGAGCCTGTGAAGAGAAAAGTCGATTCGGTAATCTAAAGAATTCTGAAGTCGAATGTTTACCTTTGGGAGCTGTTTCTTTTTAACTAGTTAATCATAATAATTCCACAATTCATAGCGAATTTCATTTCGTACGGCTGTCGAAATAAATTTAAAAAATGTTTGTTGATATGGAATGTTTTGAGGCAAACATTTATATTATACATTTTCTGTACCAATAATATAATGTACTATAGATTCTGCTAGGTTGTTTTTAAAGCAAACAGTACACAGAGGTAGTTAACCTTCTGAAAAGAATTGGAATTTGCTGATATTAAATCGTAAAAAAAATCGTGCAATTGGCAGAATAATAAAAATTATAAATTGCGGTAAAAACCGGAACGCCCTCAGATTAGAATTTGTGCGTTACCCATAATCTTTGGAGATTTCATAAAACTTATAAAAGTATTTTCTATGTAAATGCTAGGCTATTCCGTAGACGTTTTAATAAACGCCCTCAGATTAGAGTTTGCGATCATAAGTGCGTTAACCATTACCTTTGGGGATTTCATAAAACTTATACAAGTATTTTCTATGTAAAGAGTTTGTGATCATAAGGTGCGTTAACCATTACCTTTGGGGATTTCATAAAACTTATGCAAGTTTTTTCTATGTAAATGCTAGGGTATTCCGTAGACGTTTTAATAAATAATGGTAATCTATTAGCGATAAAACCATTGGCGCCCGTTTTTACGCCTTTAATTTATGCATTTAGCAAATCGAATGTGTCATAGACTGCGATAGCTTTTTAAGGTGTAGCACTTATTCCTCTTGGGACTAGAAGATCGCCTACAATTAAATTCAGCGCGAAAATCTAGCAAAACTAATTGGAAGCGTAGAAAAAAACTATTAGTGCTTATGATTAAAGCATCACATTAAATCTTGCTACTACCCGTACTTGTCCGGCAACAAAGCTTAGCATTTGATGTGTTGAGTAGATTTTAAAGTTGTTGGCGGCGTGATAAATCAGCGATAAACACTCTGCGCCAAAAGCGGAACAGACGTGATCTGTCAATTGTTAGTAATTATTGTCGTCGTTGTTGTTGTTGTTGTTTTTGTTGTTGTTGATGATGCTGTTGATGTCACCCTAAGCCACTCAGTGTTGTGATAAATCTAATAGTATATTGCTTGCCATCGTGACTGTGCATCTCTTGGAATGCATTTGGAGTTGTTTTGCATTTATCTTTAAACATTTATGTGTTTCCCTTTCTTATTTATGCTTTTTTATATGCTAATTATAGCATTAAAAAAGAAAAGGATAACCAATGCCTGCTAAACCGGTTACATTCGATTTTATTGCTCAGTCACCTGAGGTTATGCTACTTGAGGTTCTGTTTGTGTTCTGAGTGTGTGACTCCTTTTCTTCTTATGGTTGATTCAGGCAGCCGGTTTTTTAATCGCAATGGAATTCCATTTTTATAATTCACATTTGGTGTACGTTTGATGGGCTCTATTCAATATTGTTGACCAAGAGAGTTTGTTATTAAAAATTATCAAAACTAACTTTGCATTTATAAATCTTATATACTTGTATGTAGAAAATAAAAGAATTTAATATTTCTATTACACTGAAATATCTATAGTTTGGACATGATAGTGACGGGAATCCAGTTTGTTTTATTTGTAGACTCTTTAAGCCGGACATCACGCTTTTATATTTATTTTCATTGTATTCCCGTTTAATTTGAAAATCAAAAAATAAGTCAGCTAAATCAATGCATTTTTTTTTTGAATTTTACAATTATGAACTAGCATAATTTTCATAAGCATTTATCATCTGTTATTAAACATTAATAATTAATTAATGTAATAAATAATAATAAATAAATATTAAATGACATTTTAACATTCTGCTGATCAAAATATGATGTGTAATTCGGTGTAGTTCGATATGTCATTATTCTTATTTTGCTAATTGATTATTTCATAGCTAAATTATCCCGAATACTGCGCTAATATCAAATAATACGTTGCCATTAGCGTATACATTCACATTTTCGCTAGTTTGGTCAATAAAATGCCGTTCACCTTGGTATTATTGACCATTAGCACAAATTATAGAAAATTCTAGCAACAAATTTGTACATATGTATATATTTTTTGGCATTTTTTTTTATCAAAATGTATGTGTTTGAATATAAGAATCAATAATAGTTACAATCAGACCTTGAATTGTCGAAGAATTCTGCGTTAATCAGCAGTGGTCCATATTGGTAACAAATCTTCTATACTAACAAGAGAATTAAGAATTAGCTATTGCAATATTAGCAATTGCCGATAACAACAAATAGCTTTGTATATACTATATGTACATATCATATTATTTCTCGGCACAATAAGTCAAGATCACCCACACATACACATGATAGTAACGTAAAAACGAATCTAAACTAATGCAGATAACCAATCTTTCGTTTTTGATTTCCTTGTCAGTTCGTGATGTATAAAACTTTCATGCTACAACCACTCATGACTTTAATGATTAATTTGTTCTTTTCAGCGCGTAATCAACGTCGACGTAGACGCCGTACAAACCAAAACAAAGCGGCTCGTAAATTTGTTCAAGAGCCACCACTGCAGCAACAACAACATTTAGCAAAGCGTGCAAAAAAAAAAACGATTACAAAACACATACCAAAAGACACATACATACATATATTAGTACATATATAGTGTATAGGAATAAAATTCGCAATGCTGGCAAAAATGAATAAAATAAAATACTCGTGAATAAAGTCTGAACTATTCTTGACGATCGTCGCCGATTTGTGGTAGGTAATGCACCATTTTGCAATCTTGTCACGTAGAAAGCGAAACACCAACATCAACAACATTAACATAATAAGATTTATACATTTATACAATAACAAAACAAAGCTACAACAAGCACGTTTTGCCAACATTGCAACAACAATACAAGCGATTGCCCACAACAACAATTACAACAATAAACTGCTCTACAACAAATAATAACAAAGATAATATTATTGCTAACAATAATATTTTTAAACCGTTAAATATTAAATTTTAACAACAATTGCAACACATACCACTAACCGACTACGCCATGGAACCAACCAAAAATCTCATGAAACAGTCGAAAGATGTGGAATTCCAGGACCTGTATTATTCCGTCAAAGAGCGCAAAAATTTCTGTAAGTCTAACCTACAAACATACTCACTAATGCCTTATTTTAAATCAATTCCATCTCATATGTAGAAAATGTAATTGAATTTTCTTTAAAGTTGACTTTTAGTATACTATATATTAACTAATTTTTAACCTACATTTTATTCGGCAGAGTCTTCGAACTAATCAACAAAAAATAATAATAACTAATATAAGCTGGTTATAAATAAATTAAATATTTTATTTCATGTTAATTTATTTGTACGAAATATTATATTATCTTTTGATGTAGATTTTGATAATGAAACATATAATAATGACAGATAAATTCTTGTCTGAAAAGATAAAGTACCAGAAAGTACTAGTAACAACGGTAGCTTCAAATATTTTTAGTAAAAATATAGCTCCCATAATCAGAGAACTGAAGTATTAAGTGATTCAAATTCAGTAGTTTTCATAGTTTGACGTTAATTTGTAATACATAGTTTACACAAGAACGATGCATTATTTAAAGCAAACCAGTCAAATTTAAAGGCATATCCAATATAAATAAAATAAATCACAGAAAATAAATATGTACTTGTATTACATGAAAAACCTACACTAAATTTAATTGATCAATAATATACATTTTCTTGTCCGTTTACTTATTAATTTTAACCATATTTTCAAAACGCCTCCCAACTTCCGTTTTTACAAACATAGGTCACACTTTAGATTTGAAAAGGGGCGTACGTTTAATATGATATAATGAAACCGTTCATTAAATAGATATTATTTTATAAAGATGTTTCGTTTTTTAACGTTTTATTTCAGTAATAAAAGAGTAATAAAAGGGATACTACTTAGATTAGTGACAATATTTCCGGGTGACAAGATGAGTCGAAATAGCCGTCTGTCCGTCCGCTTCAGGAAGAAGAACAAGAGCTAGAACAACCAAAATTTGGTATGCACTCGCACAGGCACATATAGACATAATTCTGATGTAAATCAGAAAAATCTTGAAACAGTATAGAAAAACTATATTATAACTCCACTTCTGTGTTAAAGATTTAAAATTGTATTTAAAAAAAAAGAGTCATTTGTAGAAGTGTGTAAAGAGCATTTAAAAGTTGGCCCCGTTCTACTCATAGCATTTAATTCTTGTTTTGTATTCGAATAGCGCCCAATCGTAAACATAATCTACAACGTTGGAACGCCTGAGTGCCCGTTAATAACTGACAGTTAGCCAATGTTAACTGTGCCAATGGCCCTCAAGCGTACTGCAAAAGAAATAACTTACCTACATATAGTAGGTAGTTACATTGTATATATTGCGTTATGTACATATTTAACACATTTTGCATGGGCAATACTTGTAGTTAATTTCTTCTTCAGCGCACATCTTTCGAAATCGGGGACGACTATACTCCACAGCCTCATGTGGTTTATGGGCTTAGTTTTGCAACTTCTTTGTTGCTAACTGCTCGAAATGATGATGGTCAGGCAAATGGGCAAGTAAACAAACAATTTACGCTTCTTTGTCTTGCATTTGTTAATAATAAATACTTAAAATGGTGGCCCTTTAGTTTTTGGGGAGGGGGTTTAAAATTGAACGACACTGACCACTTGCTGATGGACAGCTTGCGGAATAATGTTCAACAAAGTTTACGTCGTGGCCACAAATTGAATCAAACGTGTTTTCCTTGTTTCATACATGCACCTTAGTTTGGCATTAAAACTGAAATGTGAAATAACAACTTGATTTTCGTACTTGCACAACGACAACAACATCAACAACAACAACAACAACAACGCAACGACAACGACAAGAACTACACAACTACTCGAACACGTCTCACCTTATTTGCGTAATTAGCTTAGAGTACTGTTTGGGTTTTTCTTTTCGCACACACAGAAAACGTCATTGACACACAAGTCGAATAAAATCGAAATTGATAATATAATGCGGCAATTGAGAACCTAGCCCATCACAACTCTGAAGAACATTCAAACTATTTACTTGACAAAAAAGAGAGAGTGCTACAGTTAAATAAGGGCGACTGTGAAACACACTTTATCCGAAAAAAACTTGACAAAAAAGAGAGAGAATGCTACAGTTAAATAAGGCCGACTGTGAAACACACTTTATCCGAAAAAACTTCCGGCGCCCCTAGCAGAAGTAAAAAGAAAAAGCAAACTCCCAAACATAAAGTTAGGGGAAAGGGTATACAAAAAATGAAAATAACGAAAATATTGATGAGTGACTCTTTTGCCACATCAGTGCTAATTGATGGGCCGACCTTTTTCCATATATAGTACATATGTATGTTCTGCCAAATATATATGTTATATATAGGTAGTTATTTACTTACTGCATTTATTACAATGAACTTCAGGTGCTACACATCTAATAAAAAATATTGTAAAGGAAATAAAATGTCGCTGAATATGAATTCTCAACATTTATAGTAATAGTGCTAATAGCTATTTAAATAAAATGCTCTTTATTCTGGAAAATAGGGGATTATTGAAGTCAGTTACAATGCTCATCAAACACTTCTGAGAAAATAAACGCATCTTTTTATCAAATGATCTAATTTGAAGAAAAGTATATATGTATACTAAGGCATTAGGTTGGGTTTTGTTATTCACTCACCTTTAATATAAATGGAAAGCAACCCGATTTATACGTAGTGTAAGTCGAAAGATCGCTGCTCATTCTCGTTTAAAGTAGCTTTAATATTAGCCTTTTTAAAGCTAATACCACTTTGATTTTTCCCACATATGCGTCATAATAATAATACTAGAATTCTATAGTCAAACAGCTCGCTTAATCTTTGTAAACGGGTATTATGATTGTGCTTGTGGCTGATAAGGAAATTGCCGATCAAAAAGTTTAACCTTGAACCTCAAAAATAAATAAATATTGTAAAAAATACACAATATTTTTTAATGTTGTGCATATACAAGTTTCTGTGAACAAATATTTTCATAATAACAGTATGTGTCAAGTCATTCAAATCAACATCATATTAGATGTTGCCTTTTCCCTTCCACTGCCAGTTCGTTGAATAAAAGATATTCTTCGAACGTAAAACTAGTTCTGCAAATGTGTACGTGTGATTGATTACATTTTCAATTTTATATTCTGTGTTGGTAGTTTTTGTTTTTATATATACTATATTTATAAACATGTTTAAATTTAAAGCTTTTTCATTTGCATTTTGGCAGTAAGTTCGTGCCTAGGCCGATTAACGCCAGTAGTTGACCAATTTCCGGGAATAAATGGTTGGTTTTTTCTTTAGACTTTTAAACACTTTTTAAAGTTCTAAGTTCATATGTAAATAAACACGCTGTGGTTTGAAAAATATATGTACAGTACAGCATTGTGTCATTTGCACACATATTTTTGAAAAGGGAAGGGAAATAAACCGTGTAAGTGGAAAATCATTTTTAAATGGGACCGGAGTTGCAAATGCAAGACAGTTTCTGAACCATACAGCTTGCAATTCTTTATTAATATAGAGTGTATATAGAAGTCGGAGGTCATTAGTAAAAGAACATATATTTATTATTAAATAGAAAACATTTTTTGCTCAGATTTTTTATAAATTTGAGGACGATTTTTCTACATCCTTACATCAATTGAAAATGTGTGTTTAAATAAGTTCATTGCAATCTTTGTAATCAAATCAGATACAAAGTAGAAAATCGAAATGGAAATCCATCTGCAAATCCATTGGATTTGACTACAACATTCTCAATATATACATTGTTCTCATATCATTAGAATAAAATGGTTGTAAATAAATATATTTTTGAATCATTCGTTTCTATGACAGCTATATGATATTGCCATTTCACATGGTCGGTCTCAGCAAACTCGTCTCATTTGTGTCCGGTGCAAAGTTTGATCACGATAGCTCTACAACTGTGGGAGGAATAGTGATTGAAACAGGCCGACAGACATGTACTGTGCATAATTAAGATAAATTAAAATGCAATAAGTTATATTTCAAAGGGAGATGCGCAATTGAAATGTTTCCAAATCATAGCTTCCTCACTTTTGATACGGACTTTGTCGCCACGCCGTTGTGAAATTGAAGTGAATCATTTCTCATGGCATGGAACATGGCGCTGCATTATATACAATACTTAGGCACACATACATATATGCATTGGTATACAAATTTTTATAGAAATATAATATATTTTTTTACATATGCCAGCCAGACTTACTTATGTACATATGTTACATACAAGTAAGTCAGTATTCTACTTTTAATGTCGGCCAAAGTCATTTGTGCTGACTGAGTTGGGCGATAAGCGTGCATACATATTTATGTGTATAAACATACTGTTCAGATAGTATATATCTACGAATGGTTTATGTGCGCGTTTAGTTGCAACTTCCTCAATAAGCCGTCTCCCAGTGGAATAACTAACCAGCTAGCGACAACAAAGGCAGTGACAGCAACAACAACAACATCATCATCATCATCACCATCAGCAGCAGCAGCAGCATCCACACAAGCTATGCCCAACAATTCCAACTAGATAATGAACAATGATCCCAACAACAGTAAAAACAATATATGTATATGTACATACTTGTATATGTATACCGACTATGTACAAAATTATGGAGGTACGCAACGAAAGCGAAAATTGCCCAACATTGATTGAATAATTTTCCCCCCCGAAGCGGCACTTTTATTGCAACCTGCTCAGCTCGCTTTATGGACTGACCGACTGTCCAGTCAGATGCTGGCGTCCGCATCGACATCGGAATTACGAGAAACGTCGGTCAGTGCAATTCATGGCGGTTTTCTCCAATTACCCGACATATACATATTTCATCTCATTTCCAACTATCTATGGCTATATTGGGGCACCCTGTTCTATTTAATGGATGTGAATTGTCAGACTGAATGACTGCATGACTGAATTATTGGATTTGAGCTGTCTGTTGTGCAAATATAGGATAGGAATGTAAATACGAGTATTTATTCTCAACTTGCATTCTAAAATGCCTTTTGATTA